CTTATATTCTCTGGTCCCTGATTGAAATCTGACTGGAAGCAGTAACTTTTAAACATTTTAACTCAGCACTCGAACATGATGCACATCAGCATACAACAAATAGTTGTTTTTCTCTGTAGTTGTACTGTTTAACGTACAGTAGATATGATCAGGGAAGACCAAACATTACCGTAAAAATGATGTGAGGTACTTCAACTCCCTTCGATAGCTCAGTTGGTAGAGCGGAGGACTGTAGTGGAAATGCCAGGCATCCTTAGGTCGCTGGTTCAAATCCGGCTCGAAGGAGTTCTTTAAGTATATTAATCCATAGTCTGCACTGCAACTAAACAAAATACCCATTCTAACTGATATGCCTTGTACACAATAGCCATCAACTTGTGTTTAAATAAAGAGGGTAAACAAAGGAAATGGTTGACTCTTGTAAATAAAGCAGAAGGGTCTCTTCAGGATAAAGGCTACAGCAGAATCTCTGCCGTAGCCTTTATCCTGAGCTTGTTCGTACCTGCTACAGCATTAACTGCAGTTCAAACTGGCATCAAATACATGAACAAAAATTCTAGACTACTTCAGCCCTCAGCCCTACCAACTGAACTAGGGGTGATGCTGTGATGTAATGAGCTTGTTGTCTGTGGGTCATACTTACACAATACACTCAGTAATAGTAGGGGCCCTATTCTGAACACAATAGTGAGGGAAGTGTGTTTCAGCGACTTGTTTACATAGTTAGTCTACGAAAACAACTAAATGTCACTCAGGTTTCAGGTTGATACAAAAGGTTTTATTCTGTTTTCATGTTATTCCTCCCATGGTGAGAGTCAACAGAAAAGGATTCTGGTACTGTTTCATTGTCTCATAATGTCTCCCTTCGATAGCTCAGTTGGTAGAGCGGAGGACTGTAGTGGATGTACCTGTCAGAGTGGTTACCTCAGTAATCCTTAGGTCGCTGGTTCAAATCCGGCTCGAAGGAAAACCTTTTGATAACATGGTACTCTCTGTTCTCCTTCTGGTGTTCGGAGATGTATGTTTTGGGCACATATAGGCCCAATCCCAAACCACGCCCTACACACTACCCCTCCGTTTGCGCGTTCGCACAGAGGGTCCGCCACATTAAGTACTGTTCCAATTCCAAACCAACGAGTGTGGAGGGGGAGTGGGCTATCAAGCCCTCAAACAGCGAGTCTGCATCGGTGCTGACTTCACCTGCTGCCCCCTACCTGACCGGATTCAACGCTGTGTGTGTCCGTCAGCATTGCAAACAAGCTGTTTACAAACAGTTCCAGCAAACATCCACTGATAAATTGCGATGTTAAGAACCTCATGATAAACTCATATTTTTTTAACTTAGGATCATATCTGTGTTTAGTCTAGAAAAAGGTAAATGTGTGCATTTTATTATAAAGTTGTGTATATTTACAGACTGTTGCAAAAACTAAGAAGCTTATAAACATCAGGTTTAAAACTAAAAGAGCTTTACAAAAAAGTAACACAATTAAAGATGAAAGAGTTTTATTTGAGTTATTAATTTAAATTTTTTGTCCAAGAGATGCTGATTTGAAACCGTTGTTACATACAGTTACGGCATTTCCTGTTTCTGCCGGAGAGAGGGGAGTTTGTCCCCAAAGCTTGCCGCTGTATTTACTCCCTCCATCTGACAGGAGGGAGCCTCGTTGAGCTGCGAGTGTCACTCTGCGGAGTTCACTCCGTCACGGAGAGGTAGTGTGTAGGTGTAGGGCGTGGTTTGGGATTGGGCCATAGTTCTGATATAGTACAGTACCTAATTTAAAAAAGACCACCTGCCCTCTTTATCAAACATTTCTTAGTGCTTGTCTCTTTTCAAACGGTTGTTACCTTCGTGGACTCTCTGAAATAAAGCTTAGAACACTAGTTTTTCTTCACAATAATTCAGCGTTTGTACAAACCTACTTTGAACTTGTTGCTCCAGAGTCTGAGCCACTCATTTACGTCCCTCGTCATTGTCAATATCCTTTTGTGTTTAAAAGACACTCCTTCGAGCCGGATTTGAACCAGCGACCTAAGGATGCCTGGCATTTCCACTACAGTCCTCCGCTCTACCAACTGAGCTATCGAAGGGGCACTTGATAGCGCTGTCCCTGTCATTTTAAACACAATAGAGGGGGTAATGTGTGCTTAGCACCTACCAAAGGGGGGTTTGTTTGAGTAAAGTACCTTGTTTACATAAAAAGTCCATGGAAAGTAAAATATCAGGGGCAAACAGGAGTTTTCTCACATGTTTTTCCTCACTTCATTATTCTTTGCCTCCCACAAGGTACGATGAAGAGCAGGCTCAGAGTGAGAACGCTGAGCGGGACCTGCGGAGCCGCTCGGGTCAGTCCCTGGGGTCAAAGGGCAGCAAGGGGAGTGCAGGCGTTCGCCCTGCCGCCGCCACCTGGAAGTGAGGTGACATCGCAGGCTCTTAATGACTTCCTCCACATCATTACAGAGTCCAACAGTGGGAACAGGGGATAAAAAAGAAACCAGACTTTTTTTTTTTTTTATCCTTGCTTTTCGATGGAGGACTGCTGACCCTGTCTCCACATTTCACTGACTGAGGGGAGACAACTCCACTGCTGCAGAGGAGGAAAATCAATATCGTGGTCCTATTTGGAGAGTTAATAAGCCTGGGTTTGGGACTGTTTGTATAAATGACTAACTAAAAATACAGACATTATATTGGTGGGGTCAATGTCCCAACAGCTGCTCGCACCCAAGCCCATGCTCCCTGTGAAGATAAGGACAAAATAAATGAGAGAAAGAAAAAGTCCATGAAACCTTGAAAAGGAGGACATTTGAAAGTAGTAAGTTATGTATACCAATGGAATTACAATCCAACGTAACAAGGAGGATTAAAACCACCTGAACTATGCATGGTTACGAGTCCTTACACTTTAACTTGACCCCACACAGGTGCTAAAAAGAAGAAGCTCTGAGAGGAAGTGGAATAATAAAATATACAGAATCTAAAGGGACAAGAGATTTAACTGTTATAAAGAGTCTAGAGATATAATATACGGATATAATTAACTGTGCTTAATGTGTGTAATGAGTTTGAATAATGATTTGTATGTTTATTATCAGTATGCATTTGCAGGGGGCTTCATTACGATTGTATTCAGAGTTGAACCCTGTCGCACTTTATCAAATTATTTTCGCTTGACTTTAAAGATCAATATGTTGCATTTTCCGTTGCACTGAAGTCATATCTACTGCACATCTGAAATACTTATATGTGTTGGGAATGTATTAGCTCTCAGCTTTATTTGTCTGCGACTACTGACATGTTGAATTAGCAATGATGACAAGCCTTTTGATTCACTGAAGTAAGGCTACAGTATTTCGTTTTTTTAGCAGTATACTTGATACTGTGGTATTTGCACCTTTTTGTTTTTACATATAATGTATTAGTTAACAATGATTAGGGTAATTTAAAGTGAAGAAAGGGTCAATACACTCACCAATCAATCAAGGCTAAAGTCATTGATCAAGATAAACATAATAATCTCTTTATTTACTCTAAAACAAAAGGGGTCTTCTGTATATTGATTAAAGTCAAATGGAGAAAGCGTAAACACACCAGTGACCTGATTAAGATTAAATTCCAAGGGGTCCTATTTATAGCCTTTGATAAATCTAGTCTCTGGAGTTTAGATTTATCAGAGGTCGATCTTTCAAAAGCTAAATGACCTTTCTGTTCCTGCTGACAGGAGATTAAGCCTCTGCATGGCACTGTTCCTTGTCCTTGAAATGTTGACCCTCTACCTTGTTGTTTCCTCATGGACCGTTACTACATGCAGCATTTCCATTTGTCAAGGTGTGTTAGCCATAAGTGTGTAAGCGTGTTGGAATGAAATCTCTTACAAAATTCCCCCTAACCATCTGATCTGTATGAATAAGTGTTGGGCAGAAAGACACTCACATCATGACCACATTTACTGAGAGATGTATTTAACTCCCAGGTGTGAGCCGACATGATGGAAGATTCTCACTTCTTTATTGTGGTTATAAACTGTGCAGCTTTTTTGATTTGAGCTTTGCAGCACTGAGATCTCTTTGTATGAGAAATGTATTATTTCCCTTTAGTTTGTATTTACCTTTCAATAAAATATCCATATTGGTGCTGCCTTGACAATAAACATGTTTCATTTCTTGAGGGTGAAAATATGTTTGGGATGTGGGTGACTTGGCCCTTTAAATTTGTGCGGAAATGTTTTAATTTACAACATTTTTAAAGTGTTTGAATTCCAGTAAATGTAAAAGAAATAACATTAATTCAGGATGGATTACTTAAACAGGCCACTACTCTAGGTCCCGAAGGGGATCAGAAAAACAGGGCGCCTTCCTTTTATGGAGTTTAAGAGAAATCAAACTAATCCTCATTTTACTGCCAATCCCTCAAAGCCTCTCTAGTGTCCCTTGGAGGGCCCCATACTTCATAGTGGAAACCACTGCCATAGGGTGCTGGTTGCTACAGAGTAACCAGAAAAACCTTTTAAATGGATATGACGTCCGGCCGCCGCCCCTCTCCATAGTTTGAATAAAGTTTACCAGTTATATCGCAAGGTCGGAAACTGTATGATTTCAAAGTAAAAATGTTCCCACTTAATTTATTAATCTCATGGATTAAGTTTCATTTCATAGTCAGGCAACATATGTTGTATTTTTCATTTTGTCTTTAATACTTCCAGATATTGGTAAACCTAACTGAAATGACTTATATGGCCCCTTTCATACAAACATGTGAAACAAATACCTTTGTTTCACATGTTTGTATGAAAGGGGCCATATAAATCATTTGTTCAATTCACAATTCACTTGAAATGTAAAAGGGTAGATAATAACGTAGTAATACATTTTAAACTCAAACAGAGTTTTAAGATTTTACGCAAGTAAAGTGTATGCATGTATTTGACTTTCTACACCAGACGTGGTTTTATTTTGAAAATACTGACCGGATGTTATGTGTCGTACTTTGGCTAATTGACGATTGTGTCAGTCAGACGATCGATGGTGCCACTGCTGAGCAGAAAAACGGACGAAAAGATTTGTAAATTGGCATCACCAAGCGAAGTAACTCTTCAATTAAACTCTTACGTCAGGAGGAATAACCCTGTGCGAGGTAAGTCAAAACTAAGAATTACAAAACTTTGTACCATTTAACTTTTTACTGAAGGCTCTGTGGCTAATTCGCTAACATTGGAGCTAACGTTAAGAGGCTAACGTCAAAAGTTTTAACGTTACTTCCCGATGGGAGGCGGATGGTAAAGTGGTAATACAAAATGTAAATGATTTCCTTTAGTGAAAGCTACAATAGCAAAGAAGGATATCAGGTTTGTAACAAGTTATTGGTTCCCCTAGCTCGCCGTTAACTATGTATTACACGGTTTCGGCAACAAGGGTATATCAGGGTTTCGAAAGTCCATAGACTTAATATAAATTAAGCTAGCACCGTTAGACTGGAGTTCAACATGTCACTGTAATTCACTTTAGTTATTAACCTGGTTACTAAATGTAGTTTCTTCAGGGAGTTTTACCCCAGCTGTTTGGTTTTCTCAGGGCTAGACTAGTGTTTCATTGCCTGGAGTGATAAAGGGCGGGGCAGGTTTCGCAAAGATAATCATGTCCTATCATCCTGCATGTGTGCCTACAGCATTACATAATGTTCAATGGAGAGAGATGGTTCAATTCCTGCAGGCTGCCTGTTCCTCTGATCGGTGCTCACTGTTTGAAAATGCGCAGTGCCAGCCAGCTGCCAAGTCCTGTCCTGACTCATATACTGCACATGTAACCAGTGGTGGAAGAAGTACTCTGATTTCCACTTAGGTAAAAGTAGCAATAACAATATGTAAAAGTACTTAGTTCTGAGTAAAAGTCCTGCATTCGAAATCTTACTTGTGTGCAAAAGTGTCAGCATCTTAATATACTCAAAGTATTTCAGAATCGCATAAATAGTGAGTGGGTTGATATTATGATTATTGATGTGTTTTTATCACAGCTGCTAAAGGCGGAGATCATTTGAATAACTTTACTTAACCTACACAGTTATGTCAAAGTTTGATCCTTATTTATATCATAATATAATCAATTAAATAATTGATGTATATTCTGAATTTAGCTAATAATAAAAAAATAACTAGGAACAAACACAATTCAAATAAATAAAGTGGAGTCAAATGTACAATATTTGCTTCTTAAATGTAGTGGATTAGAAGTATAAAGTAGCATAAACTGAGATAACTCGGGTAAAGTGCAAGTACCTATACATTGTAAAATGTTTGTATGTACCAAAGTTGCACACACTGAAACACATTTGTTATATCAATCAGGACGTTTGTGAATGTACAGTCTTTTCTTAGAGCATGACAAACACACTCATGATATGTTGGTGAATCAGAGGACGTTCTCAGTCATCTCAGTCATGCAGAGTATTTAGACATGCCTGGTGACAGCAAGAGGGTTGATACCTATGTGGCTTTGTTTGTTGGTAGTGTTGTCAGGGTAAAGCAGTAGTGAAATCTTCTTGTTCCTTATATCTGAAGCGGGCCCTGTGAACTGGGTGTTCTGTCACAGATCTGAGCTAAACTTAGAATGGGTATTCCAATATAGGCTGAAGGCGCTGCTCTCCATTTAGAGGGGATCTTTTGGGTGTATTCTGCAAGAGCAAACATTTAGCAGTTAAAGGGATGCGACACATTGTAGCCGAATTAAATCATGTTATTCTTGTAGTATAAGTTAACATCAACTACTCCCATCAAAGTAGTAGAGTAAAAAGTACATTTGTAAGCAAAACTGGAAAATAATAAATGACTTAATGAGCTGGTTTTCTTATTCTTCAATGAATATACAATGTATTTAGTTAGACAACATAAGCAGTACATCAAAGTTAGAGATGAGCTTGTTGGAAGTTGTAATGCGATTTTTTCCCCCGTTTTCTTTTGCATTTCTAGGCAAAATATATAAATAGATCTATCATAAGAATTTGAGTCTTAACTAGAATTCAAAAGACAGACAAATAGTAAGAGTCACTTTTAATGCAAAAAGTACAGATATTTGCTGGTACCAGCTTCCTGAATGTGAGTATTTTATATCATACCCAATAACTTTTCACTCTGATTTTTCGAAGTGATGAAATCACCTTGAACTTTAGGAAATTATAGTGCTCATTTATTGATATTGATAATAACATATATATCTTAGTTACATTCCTTATTCACAGGTTTTTCAGCTCATTGTGAATGCAGTAAACAGCTCCAGAACCTTTTAAATCAGATGTTTGGTTCTTCTGTGATTTGTTATCTTTGTTAAAAAATGGTGTGAACACATACAGTATGGAATACAATATACCAGGTCACAGGGTTAGCTAGCAGATGGCTTTTGTTCGTGGCCCTTTCCTGAAAGGTCTGTCACTTTAAACGCATCACATGACACTCAGCGTGCCGGACAGTGGCTTCCACAGGAAAATGTGTCCCGTTCGGTGACGTCAGGATCTCCCCTTCCCTGTCATGTAATACTGGATTTCCCTCCATTATGTTGCGCTCTCTGTGCTGGCGTGTCCAGTGGAAAATGCTTGAAAGTGTGGAACAAACGCCATTGTTTTTCCCTTCCCATGGAGCAAGTGGGACTGGTCAGTTCTGTTGAGGCTACTGCTGACCTGCTGCTAATGGACCAACGGTTGAACTGTCTGCCTCTGTCAGTGATATCTATTAAGGCTGGATTGGTGAGAGTGACTTACCAGGAGGCTTCTCCACATTAGAAAGGCCATGTCTCTCAGAGATCAGCAGGCCCTTGCAGCTGTTGAGCTCGCATGAGGAAGGAGGGCAGAGTTGAAAGAAAATCAAGGTCATGACCTGCGTTTGCCATGGAAACGTTTGACCTTCAAGCTTATGTGCAACAAGAGAGAAATAAGCAAAGGAATGATTGTATTTTTTTCTCTCATAGCCCAGTCGGGACTTAGCCGCGTCTTGCTGTGAAACTGTAATATTGAAGGGATAGATCGGCTCAGCTGCACTCCCTGCCTGGGAGATATCGGGGCCGTTTTGTGCAACAAAGGAAGGAAATGGAAACAAGGGGAAAATAACTTGCTTAGATAAGCAGTTTTCATGTGATTAAGACATGAAGCCCTCTGCACATGGACTGTTTTTAAGCTTGTTGTTACGCAATCACACTCTCTAGCAGTTGTCATGATTATTTAAGTTAGTTGAGAGTTGCTGTGTCTTCTTGTTTTCGTTCATTCTGAAGTAATGTTAGGGAATAATTCTCCTGGACTCCTAGATATCTAACCTCTTTGCCCTTTGACGTGTATGACCAACCCTGACGTCTGTTATCTCCCTTAAGGAAATGGGCTGCTTCAGCCATAATGTTGTTGTTCCCATTCTGTGACCGGGCAACCCTGGTCACAGATGGTTTATTGTTGTGGGTACACTGGGATACTTCCTTCTCTGTGTTTGTGGACTCCAAGGTGTGAAATCTTCGAGACCACAAGTGTCTCAAGTAACTCAGTGTTCCCAACTGTTTAGGCTATCTTCTCAAATATGTTGATTACTCTCTGTGAAACCAGTTAAATGGGCTAACGAGAGAGAGGCGCTCCAGAATTGATGTGGCAACTCTCCCGTGCAGTCAGAACCTCTGACTCTGACTTGTGATGTGAATCCTCCGGCCGAACCTCCTAAATAAACCATCAGTGTTTGACAGCAAAGCTCCTGCTCTTCCCGTGTCTCCTTCCTGAGTCGGTGACTCCCACTGCATTGCTGCACAGAAGTTTCCCCCACAATGGTCAGTAGAGCTACCACCAACAATTGTTTTAATTATGGATAACTGTAAGTATTGCTTTCTAGATTCTTTGTTAGTTCTATACAATTGTGGAATATGCCCGTTTCTAAAGCAGATCAATGTTTGAAATAGTTCCAAGTTTCTGAAAACTAAGTGTCTTTCCTGAAAGATTGAACTAATGAAAGCAATGACTTGTCAGTTCCTCTTGTTTTTAAAACCGTGGAGATGTAAGTCAGACATTCTCATTCACACACTCTGTAGCAGTGTTGTTTCTCTTGCTTGCGTTGACAATCGTGCAGACAAGGCTTCCTGGAAGGTCTCAATATTTAGCAGGAAACTACATTTGACATAGGAACCCTCAGGATAACTCCACTTACTGGCACACATTTCCCCTCTGCAGCCGTCTCTGATTAGTAGACAGAACCAAATGTAGAGATTGTGTGACATTAAGCTGCTGATGTCCTTGCTATTTCTGTTGATACGAGTTTATTCTCAAGTGACCTGCCCTAACCATCACCACAGTTTAAAACACACAACCTTGCACATCTTTACTGCACACAGGGATTCATGAAGTGCAGTAAGAAAATGTTGTTGGTTCCACACATTCGCAGCTCCAGGGCAGGTATGCATGTGCCTGTCATCTCATGCATGAGCTCATCTCTCTCTCTGTATGACACTGTTTCAGTGTGACAAGCCCCAGAGCACTCTGAGGAACATAAACACGGGCGGATGAATAGACAGTCTGCTGGTGGTTTCTGGGAAAGAATATGCTCTTGTTCACAAGGTCCTATTTTGAACCACCATCTTTCAGATATTTTGAACATTTGTCTTTCGTATCTCTCATTTATCTCCAATAGAGTGCCCGGAGAATGAGTCCTAAACCCCAGAAATGAGGTAGAATTCGTGCACTTCAGGTTCCCTCGTCTCAAAGTCTATTGTTTTTTTGAATGGGTGATTCTTGAAATAATGTCTGCGGTTGTTCACGTTTTGTTCTATGACATCAAATATGCCAATACACCATACCCAACATAAAAGTCACCAGACTTGGAAACTCAACTACTCACTTATCACCTTACAGCCTCTTTGTGTTTATACTCTTCTAATTACATATTGTGAACACTTATATTTATCAATGTAACACCCTAAGGGAAAGGTTTTTGTGGAAGGGGTTGACACTTTAAATCAAATCACAAGTTTGAAGCTCAGAGGTGAGGTTGAAGTCAAGTGACCTTGGTGAAGTTTGCCTATAGCAAATAACAAATGACGTTTATTTGAAAATACATTTTCTCTTGCTGAACAAAATATAGAAAAGAAACATTAATGTGAACTTGTATTTGTCACAAAGTGTATCTTCTGGAATAATCTAAAGATCCCTTTGGCAGGGGATCCAGAGATGCTAACACTGTATTTCCCACCCCCCCATATTGGTTATAAAGGTCATTGGCATCCTGTGTCTGTTTGCAACAGCACTGCACAGTAAGATTTCATGTGCTTTTAATAACACACACGTTCATCTCTTGCTTTTGCTGTCTCACTGTCTCCCTCTCCTCCCCCATTAGCCTGCTGCTTGTCACATGCAGCTGTCGCTCTGAATCACCTTTCTCAAATGGAAAAGAAACGACCAATATTAGTTATCCTGACTTTAAAACACCAAAGCCAGCTTCAGCTTTGGAAATGTGGATACAACCGTTGTAGTGACAGTGTGGGAACTTGCTTAACATGCCAAAGTTCAGTTTAGGAATGAGGAATGCATCGTTCACTTCTATCTTAGGGCTTGTTGTCAGCAACCAAATTCCAGCTTTCTGAGTGCATTTACTTATCAGACTTCAGTGCGTATCATTGTTGTGTTTAATTATGTAATCGCTAAGCTTGTAATCTAAGCCCCTCTGTTTCTGCAACCTTGATGAAGCCATGCATCTGTTGCTTAAAATCTAAATCACAGACCCAATGATTAATGGTCATTTCTCCAAGTTTCCCTCATGCACACGTGTGTTCTGGTTACGTGCATAGCAGCTCATAGTGATGGGTTTTCCAGTGTTCCCCTGTAGAGTGACAGATTAAGTGGACTTTAGACATGGCCTTAGTCAACAGCGTTATTTGCAGTTGTAGGTCAAGCTGCATTCAATTGTTTAACTCCTTCCAAATGTCCTACAGAGCCAAGGGTGTGCAGACGCTTGTTCCTGTTTGCTGTTGACTAAATCAGGTCTCGGAAATTACTTTTGTCGCAAAGGAATTCCCAATTCATTGTTGTGGCTTAAGATATTTTGGAGGTTATTTGTCCTTGAATTGTAATCGTAAGTTTTGCTAGTAAACCCACAACGTTACAAAACTTTAGCTTGATCCAAGGACTACAAAATGTATACCTGTTGGGTGATACGTGACAGGATCATTTTATGGGACAAGAGAACATGTATTCTCATGATATAGTTTAGAGGCTTAATGTCTACATTTCCTTTATCCACTACATGATCAGTTCTCCAAATGTTTGTGTGTTAATATCCCCAAACTATTCTTACATTGTTAAGACAAAGGTAACGAGTCAAAAGTAACTTGATATTTCATTCTGTCGACCTTACATTCTGTGTGCACTGCAGAGGAAGATACTAAGTACTCAGGTTGTCTCTTGTTTAAATCTTGTATGCTTCTGTGATCATGCTCAGTGGAAATGTGTGCGCACTGCTCAGTTTGATGTCAGGAGACTTGTTGCCATGTTTAGACTGGATATTTGTGGCTCGGTCCATGTGTCCCCCGTGTGTCTAATGCTGCAGCGCAGATTGAGGAATGAAGAATATGGACAGCTGCTGGGGAAACGCAGCAGGGACATGAAGACAGGCCTGGGCTGGAAACGGTGTGATTTCCATGCTGATAATTAGGCTTGAATTTATCCACACACACCTCTTGCAAAATGACAATGCAATGGATCTCTAACAGTCACGTGTGTGTGTGTGTGTGTGTGTGTGTGTGTGTGTGTGTGTGTGTGTGTGTGTGTGTGTGTGTGTGTGTGTGTGTGTGTGTGTGTGTGTGTGTGTGTGTGTGTGTGTGTGTGTGTTGTGTGTGTGTGTGTGTGTGTGTGTGTGTGTGTGTGTGTGTGTGTGTGTGTGTGTGTGTGTGTGTGTGTGTGTGTGTGTGTGTGTGTGTGTGTGTGTGTGTGTGTGTGTGTGTGTGTGTGTGTGTGTGTGTGTGTGTGTGTGTGTGTGTGTGTGTGTGTGTGTGTGTGTGTGTGTGTTGTGTGTGTGTGTGTGTGTGTGTGTGTGTGTGTGTGTGTGTGTGTGTGTGTGTGTGTGTGTGTGTGTGTGTGTGTGTGTGTGTGTGTGTGTTGTGAACTACAAACGCAGTTAAAGAGCGGATTGTTCCTCAGCTAGCAGTGACCACAATACTCTCCTCTGTCCATGTCCTGTCCTTCAGGGCACGGGCCATTGGCCAATGACACGCACACACACACACACACACACACACACACTGAACGAGCCATCAAATTCTCGCTGAAAGAGGCCCTGTGTGTTCACACTGCACTAAAATGCATTCAGTTTGATCACAAGTGGACAACTCAAGAAAGATGGGTATTTTTGTAGAAAGTATCAATTATTATCGTGTGTCTGACTCTTACAGGGAGTGAGTCATGGAGAAATGGCTCTAGGGCTGTAACCAGTTATTATTTTTACCATTATTTAATTTATCAATCATTCTTTAAGCAATACATCAATTATTTAGTTGGGTCATCACCATTGAGTTCAAATGTGTCTCCCATGGTTGCAGTACTCTGATGGCAGGTGTCCCCTGCAGGTCACAGCTGTACAGAAACACTCTCTGAATATATATAGTTACCAGATAGCAGATCAGAAGGGAGCGAGTCAGCCTGCAGAGAGAGGAGACTCTTCAGGCTGATGGAGACAGCAGGAGAGGAAGAGGATGGAGGGGATGAATAAAGGGAGACTGTTGAGAGTGAAATGATGGCAGTGAGGAGAGAAACAGAGGACTGTCTGTGGTCCCCGTCTGAAGGAAGCGGAAGCTGCCCGCTGTGTGCTTCTTGACAGTTTCTTTTACTCTCTCAGAATTTCACACACACACACACACACACCTGCTGCCTTGATTATCAAACCAGATCACACACTTTCACTCCCCTCACACTTCCATTTCTAGTATCACTCCTCAGAACTACTCACTTTCTCTCTCATTATTATTCACCCTTATTCTCAGTGTCTTAGGTATGTTGTTGCGACAGAATGATGAATGTAGATGTTCTCCTTTGGCTGTTGGTTTCATAGAAATAAACAGTGAGTAACCGACTGATTAAAAGATATGGTTTCTTTCCCGTTGAGTGAATATATTTAGTAACTCAGCGGTCTCTAAGTTTGGCTCATTCTATACTGAATTTGAAAGCTTATCTGGAAGTGTGTATTATGAATCTACATGCATATCTTTTACAATGTATCTATATGTTGATCAATAGTTTTCCCTTTCATTTTGTCATTGTATGGAGTGGAATATTCAGCAAGTAAAATAAATGTGTATGGTGTAATCAAGCTCCAGCAAAGAGTTAATATTTCTTCTTCATAACATACTAGATATAATATATGAATAGTCAATTTAATATAGTTCAATATTTTTCTCTTTTTGAACAAAGACGTATTGATTGGTCATGATATTGATTGATTGTGATATTACATTTTTTTAAGCTTGCATACTTAATGACATTTATATTTGTAGTTTTAGGCATTTCTAACAACTGAGCTAAGAGGCCGTTTTAATCACATTCATTAAATGACACTTTATTTATTTGATGTTTTGTTTTGTCCAGGCCCTGCACTCTGAGTGTGACTTGGAGCAGCAGCCATGTCGGGCTCCTACGATGACTCCATGATGGATGTCTCCAGTGACAGCTTCTGGGAGGTGAGACGCTTCACTTTCTTGACACTACCTGCCCTTCAATCCTTGCGTATTGAGATGACAATAACATCTGGTTACATTTGAATATTAGTGAATATACCAAGTTAACCACAACGCAACGTAAAATCCTCCTGTTTAAATATTTCATAAATAATCATCTCAACTCAGAGAGCATAATCTAGGTTAAAGGCTAACACTTTCTAGCTCCTTTTAACCAAGTTGCTGTTTGTCAGGTTGGTAACTACAAGCGCTCAGTGAAACGGGTAGACGATGGCAGCCGGCTCTGTAATGATCTGATGACCTGTATTCATGAGCGAGCACGTATTGAGAAGTCCTACGCACAGCAGCTCTCAGAATGGGGAAAGCGCTGGCGCCAACTCATAGACAAAGGTAGGAATATTTATATTCAACTCAAGCTTTACATGAAATTGTGTGAAGCTGTTAGCGTCAAATAATATAGCAATTCAATAAATGAAAAAGGTCCCTGTGATTGTGTGCTTTCTTTGAGACAATAATATGAAATAATAATAATGCCTTGACACTGATGGTGAGTAACTCTTCCCTCAGGCCCTCAGTATGGCACGCTGGAGCGGGCGTGGTCTGCTCTGTGCACGGAGGCGGAGAAGGTGAGCGAGCTCCACATGGACGTGAAGTCAGCGCTGATGGGAGAAGACTACGAGAAGCTGAAGAACTGGCAGAGAGACTCGTACCACAAACAGATGATCGGCGGCTTCAAAGAGACTAAAGAGGCTGACGACGGCTTCCGCAAGGCTCAGAAGCCCTGGGGGAAGAAACTCAAAGAGGTGTGGGTCTCAAACGGGATAATGAACTAGTTTCATTTGTATTATAGGGGCATATTTAATTACGAGTAACTATCAGAATGCACTGATATCATTGAACACTTACTGTGACTTTATCAAAAAGACAATAATGTATTTAAAAAAGCCTTCAATTTATTTATTTTTCTTTGACCCCCCCCAACTATTTAAAAAGTTGTATTTGACTAAGTAAAGACAAAACATCCCAGTATTTTAGTCCACTAAAATAGGATGAGGTTGACTAAATCAGAAAATATCTAAAAAAGAACATTTAAAAGAAGATTAAATAAAGAAAAAATGCTGACAAAATTACACATAATGATGTGTCTGTCTCTATAAACAGCTTTACAGAAACCACAGGTTAGCCATTTTCCAAGTCACTGATTATAGCCATGACTATGAATGTAACCCTCCAGTCCACATGACTGCATATCCCTGACTCACTATTGTTTCCCTCCTTGACTACCTGCTAACTAAACAACAAGCGGAACATCATTTGCAACCCTCTTCATATTGAATAAGAAAGCTATTACCAAACATTGTGTGGCCGCCGGGAACTGTATCCTGTAGTCCTTTGACTGTCAGTAGAAGGGAAGGAAACACAGAGGGAGGCTGGCAACCCCGAGTTCAAAATCAGGTCACTGTATTTCCTACTAATGCTTTCATTTTAGCAGCCTGTGTACCCGGCAGCAAACACATTGCTTTCTGTCCCCACACAGGCATATAAGAGCGTCCACAGCCAAGTATTTGTATTTTCAAAAAGCCATTTTGCAACCTCCAGACTCCTTGCCCCCATTTCCTGTGTGTGTGATGTCACTTTGGGTGGTGACATCCTGGCCTTGTCATTGAGCAGCGACAGAACAATACAGTTTTGTAGCCCGAGTGATTTATTGATTGAAAAGACAGACAGTGACAGCGGGTAGGGGGCAGAGAGGAAATGAGGCTAATTAATTGGTCTAGAAAAATTATACGCTGACATGGGTGACGTGTGCATTATGTCAATAATAGACACGGCATGAATACAGTGCGAGTCCAAGGCCCTCGTGGGTTTCTGTAATATTAAATTAGAGAGGAAGACAGGCTGATGTCTCTACGAATGTCCTTGTGTTCTTCACATGGCCTTCAGCCAGTTATTCTAGTCACACCACAGGGCCCTCTTCAAATAACACCACAATATCTGAGTGCGTTTCCTCAATTGTTATCTGTTGGAATTTAAATATAAACAAAGTGATATAGGAGTGGTTCCTTTCATAAATGCATCACTCATCAAACTTATCTGGCATCAGTGTTTCACTTTTTCTGTTTATAAAGTTAATTCATTCAGACATCATTTTCATTTCAAACGGAGAGAAAATCAAATGACATGGCATGACAACATGGCAATGGCTGTAACATTCAGCACATTTTGAGAAAAGACAGCTATGTTTAGGCCCATTTCCAACACCTTAACCCAAAAGAGAGGTTGTCTATATCTCGTTATCCCTCAGTCACACCACAGACACCAATCTTTCTACACTTCTACAGTTGTTGGTTCCAAGTTACTTTAAAAGACTGGCACTATTAACTGCATTTCTTTGTTTATTGCTGACTCCAGATGGAAACGATGAAGAAGTCATACCACTCTGCCTGTAAAGAAGAGAAGCTGGCAGCCAGCAGGGAGACAAACAGCAAACTGGAGAGCAACAACAACCCCGAATCCCAAAAGAAGCTCCAGGAAAAGGTGGAGAAGTGTCAGCAGGAGGTGGAGAAGGTAGGGCTTCCTTTGGAAAGACATGGACGTTGTATTTTTCTAGAAAAGCTTCTTAAGATATTATTTTTCCCCTCGCTATCTCAATTTCTAGTCAGGTCTGTACCAAGAAACCTCTTATATTATTCTATAGAAGCAAGAAACTAAACCCCTTTGTTTTGGTAGCTGTAACGTTTATTTATTTTTCACAACCATTTTTAGGTGAATAATATTTGAAACCTGTGTCTTTTGGACTTACATCTATAACATATCATACGACAATAGCAACAGAGAAAGCCACATTATGATCAAGGTCGAGAATAATTCATGTGTTTTTAATATGTTTTTAATGTCACTTGATTCCTCTTCTCTCCCAGACTAAAGAACGTTATGAGAAATCCCTGGAAGAACTGGACAAGCTGACCCCTCAGTACATGGAGAACATGGAGCAGGTGTTTGAGCAGTGGCAGCAGTTTGAAGACAAACGGATTCGCTTCTTCGGGGAGCAGCTGCTGGAGGTTAAACAGCACCTCGATCTCTCAACCAATCACAGGTCAGAGGTCACATGACAGCCTCATGGGCAGACAGGGAAGTGAGAGATTTGCTATCACCTATTCATAATGTACAATAATGCCTCCTCAGATTCCAGACAATCTACCACACGCTGGAAGACACGGTTACTGCTACTGACGTTGAAGAGGACCTGAAATGGTTCCGGTCCAATCACGGCCCCGGCATGCCAATGAACTGGCCCCAGTTTGAGGTACTACAGCTCTTACGTATTGTAAAAATGCATAATGTTTGATATGGGATTAGTGGAGAAGAAATATCGATAACGCTTCTCCATTTGTTCCCAAAAAGTGTTCATGTCGCAGATATATATATATATATATATATATATTTGACCTAAGAACAGTGAGAAGCAATTTTTTTTCACATGGATTTTAGTATACCATTAGGCGCATTCACACCGCAGTACTTTTCCCACAAAGGTTCATGAGAATTTAGTTCATGAGAACTCTTTGAACCTGGGGGTGGATTAGGCAAATGAAGCCGCTGACGTTACTTCTTCTTCTTCTGCTTTGGGTTTACTGGCAGGCCGCAAACCACTTCACGGCGTATACTGCCGCCCAAAGTCGCCGGAGTTAGGGACTGGCTTCAGTAGAAGCTGCTGGGAGTCCCAGCAGCCTTCCGAGTAAATCGCCAGAACGCCGACACCTCCTCATCTCCACCGCTCCCATGTTTTATTTTGTGTTGCCATAAGTTAGCCTCTCTGCGTTTCTGCGCTGGGCTAATGCTAATAATGCTAATGCGAGGATAATAAAATGGCGGCTTCACAAAACTTTTTGGGAGTTTTACGGGGCGTGGTTTGCAATCCGCCCAGCCAATCAGAAATATAGCTCTTTTCTCACAAGAGAGCCGTACGAAAGTCCCTGCTCTCTAGCAGCTCTCTGCTCTCTAGCAGGGACTTTCGTGGGGGTAAAAAGGTTCTCATTAACACATTTTAGTACCGGCTCTTTTTGGTGTGAACGCGATAAAGAGGCTAACGTCCACGCTAGCTGCTATATGTTTTGCATTGAGGTGATACTTGAGGCTTGATGTGCTGCGGTGATATGCGAATTCCTTTTTGCATAATTTGCACACAACCGTGCTCTTATCGACGCTTCCATCCGTCCGTTTTTAAAAACAACATTTCCCACTGTTGTTCACTGTGGTTTGTTGTTGTCTGAAGTCATGAACGTTAGTTGGTGCTCCAGTATAATCGGTACGCCTGAAACTCATCCAGTGAGAAACGTTCCGCGGTGCAAAAATAAGTGCGATTAAAATGCGTGAATTTTTTTAACGCGTTAATTTTTGTGTAATTAATTAATCTTAATTAACGTGTTAAAGTCCCGGCCCTAATATATATATACACACATTAGGATCTTTTTTTATTTTTGACTTGAAGACAAAGTAATGATCCTTATATTTTGTTTAGGGAGGTTATAATGACTAATTACAGTCCTTGCATAGCTTGAAATGCTAGCATCTCTTATAAAAATAACGAGTGCTCTCCCAGGCCCAACTGCAAAATGGACAGAGAATATATGAAAAAACGTCAAGCGAAACATTACAATATCTGTGTAACATGTAGCCCAAGCTGGACTCAATGTGCTGTGTCATTTTTGTCATTGATGTATGCTGTTTGGCAGCAGGGGGTTAAAGTAAATTTCTCCTCAGCCGTCAGAGCAGCAATGAGGAATGAAGTTTCTGTCATCTTCCCAACAGGAGGTGAAATAAGAAAAAGAGGCCGCAGAGGGAAAGAAAAGCTCTGTGCGCTTGCATTGCTACAATTGACAGCTCTTTAAATGCTCTTGTAGGCATAGCTGTTACAATGGAGCGACTTATTGGAAGGCTTTTTAAGAAAGAAAGACACATTTTCTCTGACAAGACACACACACAATCAAAAAGAATAATCTGTAAGTTAAGTCTACCAGGGTATATATTAAATTAAACTTAACTAAGTGATGTAATCAATGTCAACAACAATACAACATGTTTGTATCTTGATTGCTTTACAAGATCCTGGCTCTTGGTCATGTTATTTGTTATAGAAATAATACCTAAAATACTTTCCTGGTGTAAGTGTACTAACTAACATTTCTGAGTGCTACATATGACACTCCACACATTAAGGACTAGGCTGTGTTGTCCTCATTAACCCTTTCCACACCTGCTTCCCTTTCCCCATGTCTGACAGAATCTTGATTGGTCCCATCCTCGCTCGTTTAAGAGAAGGTCCATTGTAGTGAGTTCTGCATGGGAGGGCTGCTCCCCTTCACAGCAGCCATGGGGGGGGGGGGGGGGGGGGGGGGAATCCTTTTTTTCCAATAACACTCTCATTCCTTAATGCCTCTTTTTCTGAGTGTTTGACGTGGTTGTGTGTGTCTATCTTTTACTCATTGAATATTTAGCTTTATTTCAAAGATCACAGCTCTGTCCTTTCCAAACATATGTTGATATTTCCACATTTGTTCCTTTTACTTGAAAACTGCAGGATCTTTACAAACCTTTTTCCTGGATATGAGAATTTCTAGAATTACTCAAAACCTGATTAAACACAGCTGAGACTGTCTCTTCTAACCTTTGAACTCTGACCCCTTTGTGACCAGTCCACTCATAATTCTGTCCACGTGAACCCTGCAGTATGTCACATGATGCCACCATGACTCAGCAATCACTCAGAGGTCATGAACCAGACAGGAAGACCTCTGATCTCTAAACTTTTGAAAGGACTGGTTAATCAGAGGGGTTAGACAAAGACTTTGGAAATCTCAAAGGTCACACTTTCTAATGCTAAGTCATTTAGTCAAAGGGACTGACTCAGAGACATTTACTACCAGCAAAAGTAAGTTTTCATAGATACGGTTAATTTCTCCTAGAAGTAAAAGTCCACTCGTGTGGGGAAACATTTTTCTTTTCTACCGTGTTGCTGTGATGGTCTCTCTTTAATCCACTCTTCCTGGTGGAGGGGAGACTCCTTGGTGCTGTGTTTCTTTTTGCAGGTGATGGATACTGCTCGTGTTCTCTTATCAGGCCAACACTGTACTGTAAAAACACTTGTGCATGTACAATTTCAATACCAGGGTCAGTGTCATGGCCTGAGAAGTGTGTGTCTGGTGCTGTGACTCCCACTACTAGCTGTGAAGGCATGTTTTGAAGATATTTTGTAGTAGTGGATACTCAATGCTAATATGTGTGTGTGTGTGTGTGTGTGTGTCTCCCAGGACTGGTCCATAGATCTAAACCGGACCCTCAGTAGACGGGAAAAGAAGAAGCCATCAGAGGGCGTCACACTGACCGGCATCAGTCAAACTGGATCTGACCAGCCGGTTCAGCCTGCTAAAACCAGCAGCAGGTATATACCTCATCACTCAGCTACTCACTCTTTCTTTCTCTTACACACAAAATCTTTCCATAATACTCACACACACACACACCCACTCACTCACTCACTCACTCACTCACTCACTCACTCACTCACTCACTCACTCACTCACTCACTCACTCACTCACTTACTCTGTCCTTCTCAATCAAACTCCCCACATCAGAGATAATGCCGTAAACCACACGTGGAGTCTTACTCTTTAGGAATGCTTGTAAAGCGCTGCATAAGGGGAGCTCCGCGAGTGACGTCTCGTTCCCATGGCAACAGTAAACATTTTGTCACAGTTTGTTGGGAAAGAAATCCTCCCTGTGGGATTGGAGCCGGCTGGTGAATAGTTGGAAGCCAGCCAAAAAGTAATGTGGAAAAATATCCTTCACACACACACACACACACAGACTTTCGTAGCATGGATCCTGGTACTGGGAAGTTCAAAGACGTTTTTATGAGCAAATAATGTACACACTTGATTCAGATTCAAGCAACAAAAGCTCTATTGATGTATCATGAAATTCAAGCCACTTCATGTTTGATTGGCAGTCTCTAATAGCCTGACGTAATGTTTTAAAGCCAGATAAGATAAAAGTTTAGGTGTCCTTGAAGAGAAATGTGTGTTTGGTGTTGTGGCAACAGCATCCAGGACATAACAGTGGTTCATGGAAACAACAAGAAACATCCGATTAAGATAAAAAAATACTTCTCATGCACCCAACCTTTACGTTTAGAATGTTTAGTGACATTTGATTACCCTGTCATGAGTTCTGGAAACACTCTCCTTTATATACAGACCTCAGTCAGTCCGAGTGGTGTATATGCAGGAATCAGGCGGGTAGTGTCTAGAAGAGTCAACAAAGGGAATGTCAGGCACGGGAAGCATTTGACCTCTGAACTTGGGAATGTTGACTGCCTCTCCCCCATGAAGCCTTTCCAGCTCATTGTTTTCCTGTAATTTCCTACATCTTTGGGCGGGACTTGTTTATGTACAGGATCTGCATCGCTTATAGAGCACTTGAGCTGAAAAAACTATTTCAACATGAAGGTTGGTGACTTATCTTAGTCGTTTTTTATCAGCATCAGAACGCCAGCTCTCAGCCGTACAACACATTTGCACTTTTTGATCTTTCCCCTATCTGTTTATAACACCCCTAGATTATGAAAGTAGTACAGCTCTTTGAATACATTGGTTGGTAGTTTTAAAGCCAGCTTTGTTTGTTGACTGAAACCATCCCATGTTACATTGTGCCAGCGTCCCAGCAGAGCGGTGTTTGTGTAATAACTCCTCAGGCTCAGAGAGCAAGGCATGACTATGCAAACAAAGGCGTTCACTTTTCTCCGCTTCACACTCTGAAGGGCCAACTGCTAATTACTGCTGCTCATGCTCCAATGGTTCAGTAAACAGGGAGGAGAACCCTGTGTTTCCTCTGAATCAGGTGGAGGGTGCACGGTTTTGTTCCTCAATGCGGAGAGTGACAATAAGTAAACAACTGACTTTCTCAGAAAGATTTTGTATTTACACTAAGCTAGAGATTACAATGAAGTGGTTTATGTATCACTCAGAAAGTGTCTTGTTTATGTTTTTATTGCTTTGTGTTAATTATGATGACCATTGTGTGTGGGTTTTTAGCTCAAAGACAAAAACAAGTCATATTGTCGCAATGGTGTCTTTTCTATCTGTTTAGTCTAAAACAGCTCCTTGTTGATGCTACTCAGGCTTATTATAAGATAGATATACAACAATTACTGGGTCATCCATCTCAAAGTTATATTTAAGATAAGAACTTTGTCTCACTTTTTTGTGTGGACCTCAGAAGCTCCGCTAAAGTCAAGCCAAAACGTTCTTAATGCTGCGGTATAGGTCATAAAGTACACCCTCTACATGAATAGCATATTCACACTACAATCTTAAAATTCACAGCAAATATATTTTTCCCAAGGGTTCTTCTTTTATAGTTGTTCTCATCACGCCAATTTATGTTAGTTTTTTATACTTCCTTATTTAATTGTGGATTGAATTGGTCACTGATCAGTGTTGCCAGTCGTAGCATGTTAGCCAACATCTCCACTGAAGGCAACGTTAGCGAGTGTTGTCCTGCGCGTGTGTTCATCGTCTGTGTCATCAGACACGGAAATAACATTTCTAAATCGAAAATTCGCTCGTCAATTTGCTCATATATGTATTTAAAGAGAAATTGTGATTAGTTGTTGTGTCTTTCTACCATAAAAAACATAGTGCTAACAAAGCAGTTGGAAGTGATGCTCATTACTGCAGGGAGTAACTTCATTAGCTGAGTATGCTAACATTTTAGCGTACATTTTAGCGTGTCCACAGGTCATGTATGTCTTCATGTGTGTGCATGTCAGCATTAGATCTCTAAATGTGTCCCATGTTGTCAGCCTGACTGTACCCAGTAGCACAGCACCAGTGGGTTCAAACCCCTTTGATGAAGATGACGGAGAGGAGGAGAAGGAGGAGGAGGAGGATGAGGAGGAGGAGGAGGAGGAGGAGGAGGAGATGGCCGTGGAGCAGCAGCAGACCATAGTCAACCACAACAGTGTGAAAAAAGAGGAAATAAAAACGTTGGTGAACAGAAGAAAAAAAACATCGCCCACCCACTACCTCCCCGCCTTTTTCTTGCTACTTTATGTCATGGATCGCCGTTAGTGCCGCGTGTCTTTCGAAACATTTCTTTGTCTCGGTTACTTTGATCCCTTCTTTCTTTACACCCCTCTCTCCTCCATCAGGTGGCCAGTTGTTGTGCTGCTCTGCATGGTCGCTGGCATTTGCACACAACGCCAATGTGTGTCTGTCCTTCTCTCCTAACAGTGCCATGTCTCACAGAACATTATATGTCATACGCAGGGGGGGGGGGCCGCATGTATCAGCTGTGGGAAATGTCTTACAGTCAGATCTGAATATAGACACTTGTACGCATGTCTTTTATAGCACTTCTCTCACAATTGAAAGAGAGAAAAGTAATTGTAAGTTTATGTAGCAAGAATTTGGTTACAAATATGTCAATTCAAACTTTGAGCTGACCATCATACTGCATTTTTGTTGCAGTAAATCAACAAAAATGCAGGTAAATAAGTTTATATATGTATTAAAAGACACAAGCAGGTCTGACTGTAAATCTTTATGCGTGTGCTGGTGTTTGTTTATTGTTTTCTGGACATATAACTCTTTCTGTCAGAGCAAAGTTCTCTCTTGTGTTCAGGTGGCTCCCTCTGTTGGCCGTTCAGGTTCAAATCCAATCACCCCTTCACAACAATGATTTGTCTCGCTTGGTCTTATGTTGCTGCATTTGTCATGTGTCTGTTGTTTTGTTGCCTTCCCTCAGCATTGTGTGCACTCTCACTCGAAGCTCTTGATCTTAAAGCGTCATCCAAAAAACGTTTGAATCATTTACGTTGCAACCAATCGCTTGCTTTGTAGCATCGATGTCACAAGTAAGCATGTTCACACTTATTTAGGAGGAAGATATTTTCAGGATGAATCACGAAGCTGTCGCCTGATTTTGAAATGAGCTTTTTGTGTGTTTAACTTGGTGTTATTTTTCTTGCTTTTCTTACTTTTGTTACTGCTTATGCCTGGCATGTTGGGTTTCCCCGTTGATGGCCCTGAGATCAACAAAAAATGGCATCTTCTCAGTGTCTCTTTTCCCTGTCCATCCAGCGCGAGCAGTATGGAGAAGACTCAGGACTGGTCAGATGAAGACACAGGTGGTAACCCTTTCTCTGCCAACGGTGACGGCAATCCGTTCGAAGACGAGCCGGTTTCTCCTGTCGTCTCTGTCCCCGTCAAAGCTCTCTACGACTATGAAGGACAGGAGCAGGACGAGCTGACCTTCAAAGCAGGTACATTCCGAATTTGCTCCGGTGGGTATTGTCCACAGTAGATGACCATTACATGTATGATTTGTATGTGTAATGTGTATTTGTAAAGCGCTTTGAGAGTCTTTGATAAAGCGCTATAATAAATGTAAGGATTATTATTATTATTATTATTATTATTCAGTGAATGGTGTGAGGAACTTTCAGACTTGCAAAACCTTTTGCAATTCTGTCTGTTACCTCCAAAAACAAGTCATTTACTCATCAATTTTCTAAGTCATATCTATTTATTTGTGTTATCCTGTGTTTCTAGCTTAAGAACATTTGAATAAGAACGTTTTGCCAGGAATATATTTCCTAAAAAAAGTTCTTAAATCAAATGAATCTGTGAAACAGGTGAGAAAAATGTCCCTGGAAAAAAAGGATTGTCATGTTCTTGGAAAAAAAGGTTGTGGCTGGTTAAATAGGTGAGGTATGTAATTTATTTCAGAAACACTTGTTATATTCCATGGAATGCTCTTAACATCCCGATAGCAATGAATATTTTAAATGCTTTGACAATAAATACATAAAAAAAATTCATCTGTGAAAGCCATAGTGCTGTAAAAAGCACGACCAATCATTTTAGCCGGGTGGCTAAAATAACTGGATGGCCTACCTGCCTGTCAGCCTTCCATCTCTCCACAAACTTATCTCGTGCCCTCATTGGTCATGTGCGCGTTCGTGTGTGTTGGAGGAGGGGCTCTGTAAGGAAGTGGCAGATTTTTTCCGGTTGTGTATTTTCAAATTCTAGCGCACTCGAGCTGGTTTCTCCAAAATTACCTACCCCACCTTTAATTTGTATACATTCATTTACATCAGGGGTGTCCAAACTACGGCCCGGGGGCCAAATGCGGCCCTCAGCAAATTCAAAAAGTATAATGGAATATGGCCCACAAATGAAGCTTGTCTTATATTGTACTTCTGTAAACATATATTACACAGTAGTATTCATGTGTTAATAAGACCACTTTTCAAATAAATTCAGTCAATTAAAGTTGGAAACATTTTCAAAGAAAAAATCCTACTGACTTATTTACATAACAATCTTGAAATACACCCTTCTTATTTCTCCTTATTATAATCAATCGGAGGCTTCTGTTTTAAGGGATGAGCTGCCAACACTCACAAGCATACTTTACCTACATTTGATTGATTTTGCTAACTTAGAACTGAACTGATGAGGCAATATACCTCTAGTGATACGTATATGTTTCTGTATATGTGGCCCTCGGTGAAAAAAGTTTGGACCCCCCCCTGATTTACATGATTTTGGCTACAAGAGGGCAGAAGTTTAACACTACCTCATATTCGGAATCGGACAATCTTGCTAAGCAAACGTTTTCACGGCTGGAAGAAAATAAGTCAAAACACATGGGTGAAACCAAGTTAGATCAGACTTCACATTTTGAATCCATAGTTTCTGTAATATAAATATGTATCCCCTCTTCCTGCTGCCTCCAGGGGACGAGTTCACCAAAATCGGCGAAGAAGATGATCAGGGTTGGTGCAGAGGTCGGCTCAAGGAAGGAAAAACAGGCCTTTATCCTGCTAACTATGTGGAAGACATCCAGTAATGATTTATGACAAATCAATAAATGTGAATACAAAGTAAGTGGTGTGTTGCGAGATGAGTGCGGCTGGAAACGAGGAGGTTCTGCATTATTTGGACCCTTTTCTAAGTGTTGGCGAAGACTGGACCGGTGTTGGAGAAGGAAGGTGGAGAAGTTGCAGATTATGAAAGGACCATTTGAAAAGTTATTGCTCGCCACAGATTGACAGTTAAAAGATGGAAATGTACCACAAGTTTCCAGATGATTCCAAGCTAAGAAGGCCGCAGAGAAAAAATGCTGTTTAAATTATGTTACATTACTTAGAATCCCATTTATGCTGTTACAAAAATAATAGCCTTTTCAAGTATATATTAGAAGAGATTAAATGTATGTGTGGATTTATATATTGTTTAACCGAAACACTGGGAGGACACATCGTCTTGCAATGTTACATGCAGCCTTAATATGGAAGCCATTGAGAAAGATTACCCTTTTTATAACCATGAAGATCTATTTAGGTTTAAAATCATGTTTGCCTTTTAGAACCCAGTCCATTAATGTTAAGTTTTTTCTCTTTTTGGACAAAGAAAGCCCTTATGTTGAGATTATTATGTGAGATTTAACCTGATTTTAAATGAGTGCTTACCTGTCCTGCCATTCCTTTCAGGGTTGTCTTTCCACTCAGTTCATCAACTGTTCTGGTTATTTTTATAAGGAATGATACAAATCAGTGGAGCGTTATCCTGATATTCTTTATTTAGTTCACAATGGATCGGTTCCTCTCGTCACTGCAATTGAATGTATATTCACTGATTGTATTTCCTCACTTATTTTCGCTGATTACTTGTTTTTCCCAGCACTGACCCCCCCTGAACAAACTGTCCTCAAACCTTTCACACAAGTCTCTCTACTTTCTGTTGATTGGAGATTGTAATACTATATGGGTTATTTTACGCAACACTGAAGGTCATGTCAAGACATGGGAGAATATTTGAGTGTTTTTTTGAAAATACATCACAATTGATATAGCAATACAACCACAACCAAGTGTGGCATTGCATACATGCATGTAAATAGCCTGGATGAAAGATATTAGAACAAATTAAGCAGCAATATCACATGATTTGTAGTTAGAAATAGATGATTGTTAATTTATGATGCCACAAGTGCTTTTGTTATACTCTTGTTAGAATGCTGTGACTGAGAATCAGTTTGTATAGTAATTGAATGTTTGATGGCAAACATCCCTTGGATCTGTTATTTTGATATATTTGTACATATTATTATCCCATAACAGATGGCCATACTCATTGAATTAATCAACGAATATGTGAATACTTGTTCATCTTTCCTTTGGATCTATGATATGAATGGACCTGATTTCTGTAGGCTTGCATTTCTGCAAAAATGAACTGCAGGTTTTTCTTTTGAGCAAGCTTCAAATAAATGAAATGCCCAGTGCATCCATGAAATCATTAAACAAAAAGCTATTTGATGTCTCTACCTGCTACATGAGAGGAAAATTAATTTGGTTGTCTTTAATAATAGTGAGAGAGGAGACTATGTTTTCAGGGCATGCTGTCGTCAAAACGCAACAGCTGTTCTTGCACAGTAAGGTTTGTAAATGTTGTCCCACAACATAATAAATGGATTTATTGGATAAGCATTTTGCCTTTGTCTTGAGTACTGATATTTCTTCTTTTTAAATGATACTTTTGATTCCAAAATGTGCACTGTATCTAAAAAAAGAGCCTTATCTTTGTGTGTGTCATGATTCCTAAAAAGTTTTCATTTTGATTTCCCAGCGTCAATAGTTTCGGTGCACAGCTCTCTTGGTTGCAAAGTGTCCTGTTAAATTAAATGTCAAGTCATGCAAATCTGCAGTTGTTTAACATTGCATGTATGTGTTCCACACTCAACATGCTAAAATGTAACTTAATGGAATTGAATACACCAAATTCAATGTACTATTTCCATTTAACAAATATTGTGATATGTTTGTAGTAGTTATCTTGTTGATAAATCAGCATTCAAACTCAGTAAGGATCTTCTGATCACACAGCATGGCAATAATGATTAAGATGTCCTTGAGCTCAATAATGAAAACAAATATTGTATATGAATAGATTTACTCAACTGGAGCTTCAGATGTCAAAGTAAACTGCATTACCCAGAAGCCCTTGGTACAATAACACAACCACGGGGCGTTTTTATCCAACCAGAGCGCGGCCGCGGTGTTCTCCTATAGACGTGTCGTATTCTGTTATTGAGGAAAAACCATAGGGAAAAACACAGCGCTGTTTTTTCTGCTACTTCTCTATCCAACCGACACATATTAATAGAGACAGACAGAACAATGGCAGAGCCCAGCAGGCAGGATATCGCAGCTATTTTCAAGCGACTTCGCTCCATTCCTACCAACAAGGTGAGAGTTTTAAACAGCGGACAGTTTCCTCTCTTTAACAAGGAAGTTGAACTGACACGTCGCACTTTGATAAACGCCAACGCTAGCTTTAATGGCACATCTTAATTTACCAACAAGCTGATACTTATCGTGTTGGAAATTGTCGTTTCTTGTTGAATTGTGTCCTGGTGGGAGAACAACCTGTCAGACAACGTGTTAGCAGACGTAGCATTAGCTAAGTGGTTGACAGCTAAGCTAGGCTACATTTTGACAGTTGACATGTAGCTAGCTGTGTTTGTTCTGGCTTCACTTTTTAAAGCTCCCTTAAGGCCACTTGGGAAATATGGGACATGTGTGCATACATCCTGAATCATACCCAAATGGAAGTGTGTTTATTTTTCCAGTGGAAGTTAATTACATAGCCTATGCCAACAGCTGTTTGATTCGGCAGCACCATGCACTTTAGACCTTGTCCTTACCAACACCCTTCACTTTGTTTGCTTCCACCTTTTCTCGTATTGACTTTGATTGAATATGGTGGGGGTTGAAACATGACCTTTAAATCGAAATCTGTTTAATGAGATACATTTTTCTCCTGTGCTCTCCTAGGTTTGCTTTGACTGCTCAGCTAAAAACCCCAGTTGGGCCAGCATCACCTACGGTGTGTTCCTGTGTATAGACTGCTCTGGGACGCACAGGTCTCTGGGGGTTCACCTGAGCTTCATCAGGTATGTCGGGACTCACTCATGATGTAGTTTCAAAACAAAATACTAAAACATGAATTTAACTTTTTTACTCATCACAATACAAAACAAGACAAGGGATTCATTTCTCTTTTAGCATCTCTTTATGAACACAGTTATATTCACATGTTTTTAGTTTTGTATATTTACATGTTATTGTCTATAAATATGTACATTGACATTTGAGTAATTTTTGCAGTGCATTGTCATTGCTTCTGCCTCTGCTTTTATCACTGCTTTTATTTATTTGTGTCTATTCTTATTACTGCAGTAAGAGATGCCAACGAAATCAATATATGACAAGGATATTCAGATTTGTATTCAGATTTACAAAGATGAACAATGGAATTCAATCAGCAATGGGGAAAATCATGCTGTACTACAAACAAATGCATACAATAAACAATAATGGTATTCTACATACAGCATTAGCTGTAAACGCAAAAGTAACAAAAGTCAAATTACAGACAAATCAATTTTTTGCATAAGTAAATACTTTAACCACATTCAAAGTTTTTCTTATTTTCTGCCTAACTATTCGTTGCACAGTTTGTTCAAATCCTGTCATTGCTGTGTTTCACAGGTCCACTGAGCTAGATTTCAATTGGTCGTGGTTTCAGCTAAGATGTATGCAAGTGGGAGGCAATGCCGCTGCGGTCAGTACCTGAACGCAGCATATCAACACATTTTAATCGCAGTATTGCATAAGCCACATGTAAGTAAGCATAATTCTTCCTGTCGTGTTTCCTGTATCGGTTCAAGATTTCCTTTTTCAGTCAACATGGTTGCACAACCAGCGCCGCCAACACCAAGTACAACAGCCGAGCCGCTCTGCAGTACAGGGAGAAGATGAAGACTTTAGCCACACAAGCCACCAGAAGACACGGCACAGAGGTAATGCAGAACTGGTTTAAAACATCCAACACATGCAGGTTGTTCCACAGAGTCAAAGGAAGCCAGAATTGGTGGTTGATAAAACACACCTTTGCTAGTAGTTACTCTTTGCATATACAGTGTATCTCTAAATGGCTGTATCAGATTAACCGCTCTCCTTCTTTTACAGTTGTGGCTGGACAGTCAGGCTCCTCTCTCCCCAACAGCACCAGAAGACCAGCAGGTGGATTTCTTCAGTCTGCACTCACAGGTAGGGGAGTTGACTCTTAATATATCCAAACGTACCTGCTTGATGTCAACCTACGCAGACAGAGGTCATTTAACCGCGTGCGTCTGTTTATTGCCCAGGGTCCTGCTGATATTATGAACACGCCCAAAATGAATCTCAGCCTCTCCACACCACCAGAGAAGCCTTTAAGCCGGGAAAAGGAGAAAGATGATGATGGTATAAAAAAAAAACCACATACTCATTGTATTAATATCAATCCCATTCATGTGGCTTATTACACTTTCATTCATTCAGGTCATCTAGATGAAGGTCCTAGTGTTGATATGCTGAGTGTTTCTCCAAAACAAAATCAAGGTTGGTTTGTATTCTTCAGGTCTATTCAACTTCAACACCTAGTTTTTGCATGAGATGTAACTTTACTCTGCTTTGATCTCCCCAGAGCCTTCCTCTCTTCTCAAGAAGAAGCCAACTGCTGCCAAGAAATCAGTAAGTACTCAGATAAAGCTCTGGTTAGACACTACACATTATCCTAAGTGTGTGTCATAGTGTGGTTTCTAATGTGTCTACTCCTAGCTGGCCTCTAAGAAGGGCGGTCTGGGCGCTCAGAAGGTGAGCAGTAAGAGTTTCTCAGACCTGGAGAAGAAAGCTCAAGCTGCAGACAAACTGAGGGAGAAAGACGAGGGCACCGGTGCTGCCAAGAAGAACTATCAACCCGAGGAATCCATGTGCGTCTCTTTACTTATTTTTCTCCCCTTCCGTGGTCATACATGTATATTTTGTGTAATTATTTTTTTGCTGCTGTACTCATTTTCTTTAACTTGCCTTCTTCCTTCTCAGCGTTCCATCCCTGCGACTGGCCTGTAAAGATCTGGAGCAGCAGAGGAAAATGGAGGAGAAGATGTTTAAGGGATTGGAGGGGAATAAGAAAGAGCAAGCAGAGAGGCTGGGCATGGGGATGGGCATGAGGAGGTATGATGATGATGATGATGATGATGATGATGATGATGATGATGATGATGATGATGATGATGATGATGATGATGATGATGATGAAGACATAACTTCTAGTGTGAGCTGATTTAATAATAATAATAATTCCTTACATTTATTATAGCGCTTTTTCAATGACTCAAAGCGCTTTACATATACACACATTACACATATATCATACATGCAATGGTCAGATACTGTGGACAATACCCACAGGAGCAAGTTCAGGTGAAGTGTCTTGCCCAAGGACACAACGGCCTGACGCAGTGGCGGCAGGAGCGGGTTTCGAACTGGAGTTCCCCAGCACTCCCCCTTGATCTGATGATCGGATGCACAGACCACTGCGCCACCCGCAGATTAGAAACATATCTTTACTTGTTTCTTGCCCTCATTGTGTCTCAGCAGTGCAGTGTCTCACTCTGTGACCTCGGACATGCACATCATCCAGCAGGAGAGTCCCCAGGGGGCCAAGACCTCCAAAGGACGGCGCTTCACTGAGGAAGAGGAGGACGGAGGGTCCTTCAGCTCTAGGTCAGCCTTATAGTCTTCATTTCTAACTGTTACATGCATGTATTAATTTGTTGCTTGTTAATATATTGTAAGTTAATGCGAGTTCCCATACACTACTTGATCTTAACTCCATCTAAATATATTCCTGGTAGCAAAGATTTTGAATGTGAACTTTAAATCTGCCTTTACTGCAGCTGTTCATCAATTACATTACACATCCTCCACAGTATTTTCTCACCTGACATCCTTCTCTTCATTCTTTAGGGTTATGTCTCGGTTTGAGGAGACGGAGACCTCAGATAATTACTCCTCGGGTTGGAATGATAAAGGTGACGGAGGAGGCTGGATGAAGGAGAGCAAGAAACCAGAGCCGGACTTCTTATTGACCTCCGCCATTACATCGCTGAACGACAGGTAGATTAGTGTTGTTGTTGCTTTACATAGTACGGATCTAACCTTTATGCTTCCAGAATGTAGAGCTGGTGGTTATTTTATTGTATCACGATTGTTTTCAATTGTAATCATTGCTTGTTATCAGGCCAACGTCCAGAAGAAAACCAGAAGCAATGCCGGTGTCAGACTCCGGAGAAGCTCAGAAAAAGTTTGGTGTTGAGGTGAAAGCCATCTCCTCCGACATGTACTTTGGAAAACAAGATAACAACGAGGTACAAACTGGAAAATGTGGAACTTGTGAATTCATTATGAATGATTAGACTTGTCTTGCATGCTTTTTTAAATATCTATCGCAGACTGACATATCTAATCATGAATTAGACCCGTGCTGAAAGCGATCGCACATTCAACTTTACTATAAACTGTTTGAATTTTCTTTCTGTTCTTTAGTACGAGGCCAAAACTCGACTGGAGAGATATGCTGGCAGTGCCTCTATAAGCTCAGCAGACCTTTTTGATGATCCAAAGAAACAAGCTGGTAAGAGACGACAGCTCCATCACTGCCCTTGCAAAAACTATTCAATATCTAATTATTATTTACACTTGGACACATGTAGCCTCATGCAAGAGCATTTTTGAACTATCTTCCTAATTCTTTGTAGTGTTATATGTCAGACTTGTATACGTTTTAACTGCTCAAATGTCGTAAATTGCAACCTTTAACTTGATGAATGCCACTTCTGAAACATGATCATTCATTTAATAAGGCTGCCTTTTTATTTGGTTGGTGTGTTTTATTCATCAAAACTGTATCACAGTAGTAAATTGAAGACAATAATAATGTGTCATTAGAGCTGTGCTGTGTGTACTAAGGCAGAAATAATGAGAGAATGATGTGATGTGACACTGAAGACACAATTGGTGAATTTCACAAATTCTCTTACTGTACATCACTTGGTGTTCCAATTTAAAACAAATATGAGTTGGTCTCTCTGCTTCCCTCACCGTTTGTTTTGTGCTTGCAGCGAGTTCCTACCGCCTGACCAACGTTCTGCCCAACACTCCCGACATGTCGCAGCTCAAACTGGGAGTGCGCACAGTCGCAGGGAAACTCTCCGTCATGGCCAGCGGCGTCGTTAGCTCCATTCAGGTCGGCCATTGGATCAAGTCTATATAACCTTCTCTTATGACGAACGTGAATTCAAGTTCTAATCATTGATGTTATTTGTTTTCCAGGATCACTACAGTTCTTGAGCCACGGCGCATCTCCTTGGAGTTGTTGATGAGATACGTTTCCTGTGGTCACTCATCCTGGGAAAACATGTGCCCCCTTGATGGTATCGAAATCACCCCCCCGAAAAAACCCTCTATACATCGATATCTAGTTTTTTACAAGATAATGTATATACAATTATGAGGATCGAGGGGATCAAGCACAATCTTTTTTGAGTGGAATTGTGTTCCCTTGAAGGAAGATCTCTGTGTAATGTTGAGTTCTGAAGAATATTTAGTTTGGCGTTAATGCACCGTTTGAGGTATTGGGTTTAAATATTTAGAAGTATTATATGTAGCAGAGGGTTTATGGTGTTTTGAAGTATGGATTTTTGATTCCTTTATTTGACTGGGTGACAAAAAAAGAAAGCAGTGAGGATAATTCAGTTTTCTTTTGTTTTTTTAATTGGTTAACCTCAACACATGTATTGTGCATTTTTGCACTTTCCCACCATTTTGAAAGTGTCCTTTTCCGTCCTCAAAGTGCTCTTATGTGTGCTCCTCCACAGACGGGCCCTTTGGTTTTAATTTGTTGCTGCTTTTTCTTGGTATTGTGTTTACAGCGCTGCTATGACTGTCTATGCTGCCCCCTTTTGGTTTCAATAAACATTTAATGGCACACATCTAAGAAGACACTGTTGAAGGCTGTATTTCCCCTTATGCTTTTTTGTAGCTCCAATGTACAGCAACGTTAGGCATCCCTTTTAAATCCTTCATCTTTTTGTTGCTGTAACATACTGCCAGGGTCGTTACCAAGTTGGTAATTTGGCAAACATAGCACTACATGTACGCTGTAGTCTGATTTTGAATTTTGAGGCACTAGAGAAGCATTTATTCATGGCTCTGATATGAAATACTACGGCTCTTGCTTTTATGATTTAGGGATAAGTGCTTTATCTGGAACTGGATGATCATATGATCTCTGTACTGTTAATGCTTCTCAGGAGTTTGAATTGAGTTAAGTATGAAACACTAAGAGAAAGTCGTAGATCCTTCAGTGACCAAATATGTGTTTACTCCATCACTGTAAGCCTTAGTCCAAAGATCTCTGATCAACACACGCTAATACTCCAATATTTTGGAGTCATCTGGTTACCTTGTTTGCACCTTGTTTGTTAGAAACTGTATGTGGCAGCTTGTGCTTGAATGTACTGTTCTACAATTGAATCCTTGCTTATAAGTTGAAATTGCATCCATGTGAGACTTTAGTTTGGTTGATCTTTGTAATATTCCTTTCTGTCTTCTGCTGTTGAATATTGTTAAATGTCAGGAATAGTAAAATTGCATGACTGTTAAGGACCCGCTGACACATCCTGATTACAAAACAACATACTGGTGTTGAGACCCACTTATTAATAATGAAAAAACATTGTTCTATAAAACTGTATAGTAGTGCTACAAACCACGCTGTATAGGGCTTTGACTTTCCATTTATAGGACGCTACAGATAATCATGTTTTGACATATTTTGACACTCAAAAGTAGGATTTATTGAAACATGCCAAATAAATGGCTTGTGCCGAAGCCTTAAAACCTGTTTCTCTGTGTTTGATTGATTAATCTTTGTTTGGTAGAAATTAGAATAAAAAAGTGTCCATCACAATGTCAGTCCACTTTGAGACTTAAATGTATTTTCTTGTCTCACAGTGTAAAAACTGATACATTTACAATCATACCATACAAAATACCATTTTGAAAAGCAGCAAATCCTGATTAAAATAGTTTGAATCAGGACATGTCTGATATTTGTTTTTGCTTGATCAATTTTCTGTCTGCAGACTTTAATTAATCGATTAGTAGTTAATTGTAGAGTTTCCAGTTTAAATACATCATTAATACAGCAGGCCACATCAGGACAAATGCTGGCAGTCGCTTACGTGGCTGGCTGAGGCGTTCACTGTGCTTCCTACACGGTCGGAACTATGAACGTTAAGATTGGCACTCAGTTTAATGATTAAACAAATTGGCAAAAGCAAATTGTAATTTGATTTCTATTTAAAATCATTGTGCTAAATATAAATGTTAAAGATAAATTAACAATACAATAACTAAGTCTTACATTTCACCTGGTTTTAGGCTAGCTGTTCTGATAATTTGGATAAATACGATCGTAATAGGAGAACCTGAAGGCATCTTTTTTTATCAAGGAGCAGGGTAAAGCAAAAGGATTGTTAGCGGTGACGTTTTTAATTTACCACCGTTAATTATACATGTAACAAACCTGTAGTATCCTACATTATGTTCCTACCTGTGAAAGAAGTGTTTTATTTTAGTTTGCAACTCAACGAATAGCTGGTAAGACTTTTATTTTGACTGTTGAATTCCTTCACTGTGAAAGTTACTCACTGAGTGCCAGTGTGCTAAGATGCCTGCGGAGTTAAAACAGAGGAAGAAGTCTCAGAAACAAAGCGACCCAGTTCCAGAGACTTCGGCTACTAATGGGAAAGATGAAACGCAGAAAGTGAAGACTGAAGCTGGAAACAACGCAGGAGCGAACAAAACCTCCTCCAGTTTGGATGTTAGGAGTTTAATGTGCTTGTTGTCGCTGGCAGCGTGCGGGGCTCTCAGCTGGTGAGTATACATACATTAGTAAAGTAACTAAGTACATTTACTCAAGTAATGTGTAGTACAATCTTTAGGTTTTTGTACTTTTCTTCAGTATATCCATTTCTTGCCACACTGTACTTCTACCCCACTACAATTCAGAAAGTAAAATAAATATTGTACTTTTACTCCACTACATTTATTTAATAGCTTTAGCTACTTTGCAAATGTTGTCTAGTTACACCTGGAGTTATATTCACAATATACCCTGCAGCAAATGAACCTTTACCAGCTTTGATAACACTGTAATACATCAATAATTACAATAAAAAAACATGTCATATACATTATACTGAAATCTGCATAATGGCTACTTTTCCTTTTGGTACTTAAAGTATATTGTTATGCTATTAACTTTGTACTTTTACTTAAGTAACATTTGGATTGCAGGAATTGTACTTGTAACAGAGTATTCTTACACTATGATACTCCTACTTTTACTAAAGTACAAGATCCGAGTACTTCTCCCACCTCTGTTTGTAAGGAGTGTATTTCTTTACTAATGTGTGTTTCTCTGTTATAGGATGGTACTGCAACAGAATGACAGGTTTTCTGCTATTGAAGAAAAGTACAAATCTTTGCAAGGAAAGACTTCGAGTCTGTTCGACATGGAGGAGGAAGTCCTAAAGGTTTCTGAAAAGGTACGTTTGATTTATAGTGGAACATTATGAGAGCTGCCTTGAGGGATGGAACTTTTAAAGGGTTACAAAAAAGAATTCCCATACACACAATTTTCATGTTACATGGCCAGGTTTTGAGATATTTGTGTCGGAGATTTTTACCTCCAGTCCTATAATAAGAGAATATAATTACATGTGTGGTGTTTAAAGCATTACATGTACATAATTGCATTAATTTCTTCTGTTGCAAGTGAGGAATTCGATTTTTTGGGATTTTGTGTATTTGGGATAGGAAATATGTTGCTTTTCAAGAAAAATAAATCCCACTAGTTTTGAGTCGGAGACATGCATATTCGTATCTGTATTTCAAAACCTGGATAAGTAATACAAAATAAAACTACGTGCATAGATAAATAAATGATAAAAACATATATTACTCGTGAAAGCAATATATTCATGCAAATAAAAAAGTTTTCTGTTCAGCCTCTCAAATGTGAAGATTCTCTGCTTTTCTCCGTATTAACATATTAAACAAAATATCTTTGAGTTTTTGATTGACAAAACAAGACATTAGCTTGTGAGAAACTGGGATGGATATTTTCTGACATTTTATATGATTAGCAAATGATGAATTCATAATAAAATTGCCAATTAGCCCGAGTACTCTTTCACCACTTTCTCTTTTACAGTCCACCTACACAGTGCCTTTGAGTATGCATGCGTTTTGTTTCCTGCTGTATCTGTCATGTATGAATACTGAGGTCCATAGAGCTCCCACAGAAACAGCCCTCCTGTTTTGTGTTGCGGCTGCAGCTTGCCGCCTCTGAGGACGACCTGCAGGAGGCGCTCTCCACCGTCTCCTTGGCAACACGTCTCCAGCAGGACATCTCCACCCTCCATGCTGCTGTCACGGTGATGCAGAACGACGAGAACTCTGCCTCCCGCGACCTGCAGACGGTCAGCGGCCACTTCCTGAACGTGACGGAGACGTGGCAGGTGCGTCTGGCCGCCATCGCCTCCGACCTGACCGCCCTCAAGTCCGAGTCCCGGGAAGCTCATGTCGGAGCCACGGAGCGGGTCAACGAGGCCGAGCGGCAGGCCCGGTCACTGGCGGAGAAACTGGAGGAGCTCGAGGACAGCACCAAGAGGAACGCCCGAGCTATGGAGCGCACAGAGGGGGACGACACCAAGCGATCGCAGGAACATCTGGACTGGAACACCAAGCAGATCCACCACCTGGAGGAGAAAATCAGCAGCCTGACCAAGAGGGAGGCCGAGCTCGACACCCAGCTGCAGGAGCACATCCCCCGGGCCAAGGAGTGTGAGCAGCACCTGCCCCAGGTGGAGGAGGCGGTGCGCTCCATCCTGAGGCTGGCGGGGGACCTGAGCGGGGCGGAGAAGCGCCTGGAGGAGGTGACGCTACAGGTGTTTGGGACTGAGGACAGCATGCTGAAAGCACTCGGCGAAATCTTGGAGATCAGACAGGAGCTGGACACCCTGCAGGCTCAAAACAGCATCCTGAAGATGAAGAACGAGTTGTCCGTGGTTAAAGAGGCAGTCCATGAACTCACCATGGTGCTGAGGGGAACTACAGTCGACAGCCTGCAGGAGGAAGACACTCTGGAGGAAGAAGGATGGAGAGAGGAGGAGGAGGAAGAGTGGGAAACATACGATGATGAGGAAACTCCACTTCTTCCTGATGAGCTCACTGAATGATGTCATTGTTTTGAACCAACTCGAAAAAGACAGACCCACCTACCATGTGTTACTATTTGCTGTAAAACTGCTCAGTATTAGTTCAGTATTATTGTTTTTCAAATGTACACCTCAGTTTCATGTTACAAAAATGCTTTTGCATAAAAGTTCCCTGATTTGAACATGAACCCTGGTATACATGCACTGTATTAAACAATAGCACAATCAATAATATTTATTTTAATATTTGTTCAATGTGGACTTCCACATTTTGGTTTCTATGGCATTCGTATACAACATGACCCATTACTATGCCAAGTTGTATGACAATATCTGCTCCAGTGTTTCTAGATAAAACAACATTATAGTTGAAATTATGTAGTTGATTGTTTTGTACTTCTAGCTTTTAAAAATGCAGGATTGCTCTTCTTTCCATCTTTAGTTTTCACATTTGAATGTATGACAATGATTTCCTTATAGAACATATTTAATAAAATCACCTTTTATATTGAAATTGTCTTATTTGTACAAATGTGTTTTTTCCCTCCTTTTTAATCTTGTTTACTGAGGCACTACTTTCTTAACTGTGTTTTTCATAAATCTGAAACGATGCACTTTTGCATTAGTGTTTTAAATAACTAACACACACACATCCAGCTGTCGTGTCCTTGAATCTATGTGCTGTCTGTCCTGTTTCAGTGTGAGAGCGTCCAGCTGATGCTGCAGGGTCTTGAGGGTCAGAGGGGGGCTCTGGGGCCCCAGCTGGAGGGTCTGCAGCAGGACGTGAGCCGGCTGCAGGAGTGGTCCTCGGGGCTGAACGAGAAACGGGCTCAGCTCCAGGGCAGCCTGTCGTCGCTGAAAGACGCTGTGGGACAGATCGAGGAGCGCACCTCCGCCATCGCCAAGGACTTTGTCAACAAGGTAAGTCAGCTCCTGTTGAAGGCAAACACATGTTACTGTTCCTTGTATATTCTGTCTGCCAGGTCTTAGGGTCATATTGTGAACCCAGAAGTGTTGAGCACCCGGAAATGTTATGATAGAAATGTGTAGGGTCTCCAGCACAGAGAAACTGCCCGATGCGTATGTTGGGCAATTTGCACAATTAGCACAAGTTGCATTAATTAGCATTTGCAGACAATAGTTAAAAAATGGCTTTGCCGATTTGGACACTTTTTGAATGGTTTTCGAGGTAATTGAGGATGTTGAATTGATTTCTTACATTTTTAAGATCAAAAATGTCAGTTTTAACCAGAAAGTGGCCTTATTTGTACTGCCGGTTAACTGATTTTGATGAATTTTGCAAATTGCCCAACATATGCAAGTTAGCATGCGGCACTTTCTATGTGCTGGGGACCCTTACTATACATTTCTAACATAAAACTTGGTGGTACTCAACCATTCCGGGTTCACATGGCAAGTAAACTCGTAAGAAAAGGTTGGAATACGTTTTAAGATGTATCTTTCTTTTATTGCTATGCTATTTATGTGTCTCTACTTTTGACTGTTTTTGTTGTTAATGTTAATTAATTTAAGCAGTCACTGGCACAGCAATCTCCTTAAGGTTGCTCTTCAGTGGTAGAAAGTAACTAAGTACAATTTTTTGATATGTTTACTTTACTTGAGTATTACATTTTTTTGCTACTTTCTACTACCCCACTATCTTTAGTTACTTAGCAGATTTGGATTAATGATGAGAAATATATATAATTAACTCTTAAATCAGACTTTAGTTCCACCTGGAGTAAATCCACAAGCTACCCTGCAGTATACAAAGTCATTCAAACTAGCTGCACCTTCACCAGCTTTGAGAACACTTTAATGATCAATCATTATAAAACATATCATATATTATTCTGAAATGGTCCAATCTGCACAATGACTACTTTTGATACTTTAAGTATATTTTGATGATAATACTTTTGTACGTTTACAGAGTATTCCTACACTCTGGTACTTTTACCTAGGTGCAAGATCTGAGTTCTTCTCCCACCTCTTTTGATCTTATCTTCGACCACCACTTTAAAATGTTCCTGTTGCTGTGTGAAAAAGATTTCTCCTCTGTTCTGTGTTTGGCCTGTAGGTGGCGTCGGTGAGGACGGACGTGCGCAGGATGGAGGGCCTGCGCTCGGAGCTGGAGTCTCTGCTGACTCAGGTGACGAAGCTGGAAGACAAAACCTCTCAGGTGGAGCACAGCATGGTCATACGCATCGGGGAGGTGCTGGCCAACAGCATCGACCGGGTCCAAAATCTCCGTGACGCGTCCGAACGCAACACTAAGGCCATCGAGCAGCTCCGCAAGCAAGTCCCTGAACTCACCGCAGCTGATACACGGATCTCTGAGCGCCTCAGGGAGCTGGAGAGCGGCAGAGCTCGGCTGATAAGAACAGTGACCTTTGCCAGTGACCTCAAACCAAAAGTAGCTTCTATCAAGAGAGACTTGGGGGCGTTTGAGCCTCAGATGTCAGACCTGACTCTGCGGATAGGAAGGCTGGCGGAGGATCTGATGAAGAGAGAGCAGGAGGTCGCTGAGCTGAGACAGACTCTGGCTAACCTCACTGCTGTAGAGGGAGATTTAAGTGTTACTGCTAAACAGGTCAGTGAAATAGCTGATATCTCTGATATAGGAGCGATGCACCGGCCAACATGAGCCATACTTCAACATCATCAAGATCAAAGATTTCTCCTTTTGGTTTGTCTTCTGCAATTACATCTGGTCAACTGTAGGCCTACTACTGTTTGAGCATTTACTCAAATTCACATTTTTATTCTAACTTAAATAAAAAGGAAACCTTGTCTACGAAATTGTGATCTAATTTAAAAAAGATGAGATTGTTGTATGTGCAGCACATTTCTAAAAAGTGCTTACATGAAATAAGCCCAAACCAGCAATAATATTCAAAACTATTTAAATAAAAGGTATTATAGGAAATGAATGCCTGAAAACATTAACAAATAAAGATACAATTGAGAGGATGAGAAAAAAGTGTCAAGCATGTGTCGGTAAATCATTTAAAATATAGCAGTAAAGGTTAACATAGGTCACTCAATAAAACAAAGACCATCAAAACAAACATTAACATTTAAAAGATGATACTGATTTACATAATTTACTCAGGAAGATTGTTTCAAAGTATTCTTTCCCTAATAGATAAAGTGCAGCCATGTTTTTTGTTTAGCCTGACCCAAAGAACAGAGCTAACAATAACCCATTAGACATTGAATGACAACAGCAGCATTGTGTCTCTCAGTATTTCTTGAGTTGTATAATGTGTTTGTTTTCTTTGTTGGTTCCCTCCAGCCATATGTGGTTTAACGGTTGAGGTTAACTGGTTTGTTTTGTTTTCTCACATTTTACACTGATTACATTTGATTTTCTTTGGTTCAATGGGTGTTCCTCTAGCGGTGTGTTTTTAGGAGACAAATGTTTTGTTGAAAATGTAAGTATTTTGCCATACAGTAAATAAGGTAATTTCTGTGTCTTGCAGGAATATTTTGGTAAATACACTACACTCCAATCTCATGTTTTACAGTAAATATGAAGCTACAGCTGGCAGAGTACGAAATCAACAGGAAAACGGCTCCTGCTAATACTGGGTTATAGGCAGGGGAGCACATAACTTTTTTGCCCTGGTTCTCAAAGGAGCACCTGGAGATGTTGCTTGGTGCTCATCCTTAAAATGAAATAAACCGTAACTTTTGAGGGGGTCTTGACTTTATTTGCCAGACACACGGCACTGAACACACATGCAGAGGTGAACACAGAACACACATGCAGAGGTGAACACAAGACAACATTAGCACGACCAGTAATCCTACAAGCTGTCATCACTCCCTCCTGACTGTTCTCCTCACGGTCTTCCTCTCTGTCAGACATGGTAGCTGATGATGTAGGCCTACTACTTTCTCTCTGGTTGAGTCTGCGATTAGCTGCTTGCATCCACAAGTCAACAGCTGGGTTTGGGTCGAAAGTCTCTGTTGTCATCTTAGACAAGTGGATGTAATCAAATAAGTATGTGAACATAACCAATAACCTACCATAGCCAATAACAAATGAATGTAACTTATTTTATTTGTGTTGTTCATTCATATCTTATTTTACCTTAACATTTATTTATTTATGCATTTTTTTTTATCTCTCCAGTTTTAAAGGATATTTTTGGTTACTGTCCTATAGTATACATTGGAATGATTTCAAACCTGTTTATCCCAATAATTATAAAGGAGTGCCTTGGAAATATGTGTTTACATAAATTGTGACCAACCCGTTTGACTAAATCTAAATGTAGTCAATCTAAATCTAAACACTCAGAGTCCTTTACCTCGCTGAGCTGTAGTCATCAGCCTCTCAGTCTGACTGAAGAGTACGGAGCCCCTAAAGGGACATGTAAAAAAAAACAAAAAACAGAGAGAGAAAAAAAAAAGTCAGGATAACGAGTTAGTATCTCGTGCGCACGAGATACTAACTCGTTATCCTGACTTTTTTTTTTACTAACTCGTGCACAGTTTTTTTTGTTGAGAAAGTTACCGGTGCGCCAAGGAGGAAGTGAAGCGCACAGGAGACTGTTATGTTTACGTGGGGAAATGACAGTGCATACATTATTTGAGATATATATCGTACTTAGACGGCTAGTGACGGGCGGCCCACTTTGGTACCGGCCCAATGGGATTCGTCCCGAACGTCCCGATGGCCAGTCCGCCACTGGCTGTGTGTGTGTGTGTGTGTGTGTGTGTGTGTGTGTGTGTGTGTGTGTGTGTGTGTGTGTGTGTGTGTGTGTGTGTGTGTGTGTGTGTGTGTGTGTGTGTGTGTGTGTTTGTTTGTTTCCCTATAAAACAGTACTCTGAGAGTCACGGACATTAATTCATAGATCAAAGCAGACTGGTTTACAGACTCGCCAGTGTTTTGCTAATCCGGTGCTTAAACCAATAGCTCTACAACCCTGGCCGAAATGTCCATAAAATTAAGTCTGACTTCAAAATATATCTCAAATAATGTATGCACTGTCATTTCCCCACGTAAACATAACAGTCTGCAATGAAATGGGTTGTCTCGTGTTCCACTTCCTCCTTGGTGCATCGGTAACTTTCTAAAAAAAAAAAAAAGTCAGGAAAACGGATTTGTTTCTCGTGCGCACGAGAAACAAATCCGTTTTCCTGACTTTATTTTTTTTTTTTCTCTCTTTTTTTTTTTTTTTTCCATGTCCCTTTAGGGGCTCCGTAGAAGAGGACTCTCCCTCCACATCATTGTAGAAACATCTTCTTCTTACATCCGTTAGAGCAGCTAGCACCAGATTCTAATAACAACAGCGCCGGTACCGCGGTGCGCCCTTCTCTCTCTCTCTCTCCCTCGCTCACTCGCACTTTGGCTGTGAGCTGCGGGCGCCAGATAAGCCAACATCCCCCATTTTCATCACTTACAGCGCCCATCGTACAGGGCAAATGAAACGTGTAACCGGGGTGAAAAAGGTGTTACATTTACTTAATTATGAATGTTGTTACATCAAGGCCGAAAATTAGGATGAGCGCCAACGGTTTAAAATCTTTTGTTCCCCTCCCAGAGCTGTCAGCGCAGCGCCTCCACAGATCTGGCGCCCTAGGCGAACATCTATAATGCCAGGGCTACGGGCCGACCCTGAGTTAATATGCAACTCGCAAATATCTTTCTCTCCTCTCTTCTCCCTTCTCTCTCTTCTCTCTCTCTCTCCCTCTCTCAATTTTGGTACGCAAATGCACCTTTTTTCAAATGACCCGGTGCTCTTTTTTTTAGCGGAGGTGCACATGCGCACCTGCGCACCGGTTATGTGCAGCCCTGGTGATAGGTATAGTTAATAGACCCATCTAAGAAGCAGTCAGACACATAAAAAGCCCATTTTCTTAAAATGTTAGAGTTCGGGTACATTTAAAGCAGCTTTCTATGGATCATTCCAATGAGGTTTTCCAAGGCATGAGATTTTTTTTTTTACAAAACGATGTGGTAGGAGTAGTTCCTTGAATCCGGTGGGCGCTCCACGTTAAAGGATTCATTAGGGGGCCAAACGCCTTCCAGCAAAACACAACTGCTGCCTCAGGTGAAGCAGCTCTCTGCAGAGCACCTGGAAGAGAGGCAGAGCGAAACATCAAAAAGAAAAATGGCTTGTCAGCTCTTCCTGCTGCCTACAGATGAAAGAGCTGAACGTGTGGTATTCAGTCTACACTTATCAAAGATTGTAGATAAGGTGGTAACGCTTAACAAATTGAGCTTCATGTGAGAGGTTCACTCAGAATTATTTGTCATATTTGAATATTGCTATCATGATAGGATTCATATTTAGATTTGAGCAGCCCTTTGGTACTTCACGCATATCATTCAACTTTATTTTCAGTCCCCACGCATACAATTAATCATGATGATACAGTTGAGGCAGCTTATGAAAAACAAAAAATCATATTTTATAAGGTCACACCAAGAAAAGTCAAGAGTTTTTATTCTTGTAAAAAAAATATGTAGTGAGTAAACAAAGGAGTGCTCAAAAAGAGCATATTATTGCATTTTGGTTGGTTTAAAAAACAAAAAAAACCAGCCTTGGCACAGAAAAACAACAAAATAAAACATTAGAAAAATGAACTACAGTGCAGAATGGGTGTGGATTTGAATTCACAAATCAGCAGTACAGCTTCCTCCTGACCGAACTCCTCACATTGGCTTCTTTTCTACTAAAATGTGCAACATCGTGACCTATTTTCAGAAACAATTCTTCACAAATACAGGAAAAAGGAGTCATTGTCCACTTTTTTTGGTGTGGTGATATCAGACTGCCTACTCCCTACTTTCCCTTCTTGCCTTTGGATAAGCCCGCCAGTGTCATTGTGGTCTCCTTCAGAGCCTTCTGAAGGGCTTGGATAGCCTGATCGTGGCCTTCTAGCTTGGCCGCTCTGCTCTCCATATCCTCCACCATGCTGGAGAGGCCCTGCAGCTGCTCCGGCTTCACGCTGCTGCTGCTGCTGTCCTCCAGAGCAGCCAGCCTGCTCATCATCTCCTCCACCTGCTGACCCAGGCTGGAGTCCTTCGAAGACAGCTTGGTCTGGGCACTGCCAACAGCAGCCATGTTGGACTGCAGCTCCCCCAGACTGATTTTCAGTGCCTCCATCTCCTGCTCGATGCCACTCTTGACCTTCTCCACAGCCTGGCCCTGTGCAGCTAGCACGCTGTCTTGAGTGTCACATTTGGCGAGCAGCGATTCCACTCTGGAGGCGATGTCTGACACCGATGCCGACAGGGAGTCTCCGCTCTCCTCTGATGTTTTGACTCTGGCTTCCAGGTCTTCTGATCTTCTCAGGATCTGGTCCGCCGCTGCGTTCACTTGCTTCTCCACGTGACTGGCGGCGGCGACGGCCTGCTCCACGCCACTCTCCAGCGCCGAGCTTTTGTCCTTCAGAGCCTGAACGTCGGACTCTGCAGCAGACAGCGAATTCCTCAGATTCCCCACCGCCTCTTGCACCACTGACCTCACAGTTTCCACTTCCTGAGAGAGTGAAGCCACTTCCTGGTTACGAGTCTGGAGCTCTGACCTCACGGCGCCCACCTGCTCCCTGAAGGAGTCTGCCGATATGCCTCCTGCCTCATTGGCTGCTTTGATTTCAGCCACAGCTTCCACGATGGCGGAGAGCTCCTGTTTGACCAGCGCGGGGTCCTCCATGTCCCCCAGGCGGGCCTTGAGGTCGGACAGCTGGCCCTGCGTCTCGTCCTGAGCTTCGGTGAACTCCGACACGCTGGCCTTGATGGACTGGCTCACCTCCGCCAGGCGCTCCTCCACCGTCTTCTCCAGGGAAGAGAAGTCAATCTCTCGGGCCTCCTTCACCTCCTTGATGCCCTCTGAAAGGTCCCTGAGCAAGTCGTTCTGGAGCCTCTGAAGGGCATCCTCCACCTTCCTGGTCTCCACCTCGCCCCTCTTCATCCGGGCGATTGACCCCTCTAGCTCCACCCGTGTGATGCCCAGTGATGACTCCAGCCCGTCCACAATACTGCTCAAAGACTCCACCTGTAGACAATAGGAAAAAATGCATCAGTGTGTGTTTTCAACTGACATACACTATCATCAAAACACTTGTGCATTATTAGCTAAGACACACTCATTCGATATCAATATCATTCTACAGAAAAGGTGGAAGTGCTGTCACTTACTTTTGCAGACACCAAAATACATGACGTTGACCTAATACTCACATTCATTATATATGTTGAATAAATAGAGATTGCCTTTGCAATGGTTCTAAATAAAAAATGGTTTTATACGTAAATTGCAATTTATTTAAAATGCCAAGTTCAAGGAACTGCCTTGTCACTTTGATCATACATGGAAGTGGAGCCTATAGTTTTAATTTAAAAGATTTGTTTTTCAATAAATAAATCTAATTTATATTTACATAACATTACAAGCATTAAATATAACACTGAAATGGTAAAAAAAAAACGCTAATTATTATTAATAATATCAAATAAATGTCAGTCACCCAAAATTACGTCATTGGTGTTACTGCTACACAAAACGCTTTTATTTTTGAAATAATGTACTGTCTCTGAAGTGCCTCCTGTAACAAGAGATGATTTGAGGCAGTGGACAAAGACATAAGGGAAGTCAGATACTTCTTACTTTGTTTGTTAAAGGTGTCATTTTATCTTCAAATGTTACGTGCGTCTTTCAAGTCTGTCATTAGTGTTACTCATTGCATAGCCCTAGGGGTGAACATTTGAATGGGAAAATGTATTGTATTGAAGAGTTAAACGATTTTGATATTGACTGAAGCCACATTTGGTCTGACACTGCAGCCATTTTGTTAAAATGGTAGTGTTTTCTCCAAATTGTCACTGGTGTTACTCTTCTTCCTGGTAACACGTAACAGTGACATTCCTATACAAATAAGCTTTGTATAAAGTATAAAAAAAATAAAAAAACTTTAAGCTCTACTTGTTGTGGATTCATCAGGTTAAGAGTTAGTTATAACAGGTTTTAGATGTTTTTAGAAGGAATATATTTCAGCAGATTTGAATCACCCAGATTCCACCTTTTCTGTAGAATGACCACATCAAGAAATATTTATTTTGAATTTCAATATATATGATGTGTAGGCCTATTAGTCTTCACTGAAAAACTCAACTTTTGATTGACTTTAATGAAATGTTTTATCTCAACACATTTCACATAAATGTATTAGGTTAGTTGAAAGCAATAATATTAAGTAATACTTTTAAATGTAACTTAATATTATTTTCGACTAACCTAATACAGCTATGTGAAATCTGTTGACTTAATACATTTAATTAAAGTCAACGATTCAGTGTATGTGCAAATTAAATGTAGATGAGCGCAGAAGTACATTTTGTACCTGAATGTGTGGTTAAAAACGTACAGTTTTAAGAAAAGATGCTACAAGATTTTTCTTTTCTTATGGCTGTGTATTTGAACACAATGTATATATTCACTATGCAAACATTGCTCCAATTACCATTGTGCTTTTGTGAAATGAGCTCTGTCCCAAAGGAAACACAACAAACATGTTAAACCTGTAAATGGGCATGCGGAGTTAAGTCATCAGTCACCACTGAAGTGGGTGGCACATGTGTGAGTAAAGGAAAAGCTGACTGAACATAGTTTACACTGGCTACAGATACACGGTGTACTTTTACATTCAGGAAGTGAGGAGAGAATGAATGAACGGCAAGAGTGGGCTTCAATTATATAGGTTCTGTTTTTTATTAAGTACATGGGGACCTTTTATGATCTTTGTCTTTAACAAAGTCTTTATTAATATTATATATATGTATAAGATATATATGTTTTCTATTACCTGAAGACATTGAACACATTTGTTTTACAAGTCTTTATGCATTTTTTATTCCATTAAAAGTGTATTGATGATCAGAGATGACTTGTTCTGCACATTAAGAAAGGAGGTTGTCCCTTTCCCTGCTAGACACAACTCATCCTTATCTTCCCTGCATCTTAAGAATCAGCAAAGGCATATTTTTCTAAAAGAACATCCTAAAATATATACAAACATTTCGAAATGATTTATTAATATCAGGTCTGTTTACTTATTGGTCGTGTGTTGAATAAAAAGTGAGTTCCCTAAACCCATCACTGGTCACCAAACCTACCCAACCCCCAACAGTGAGTACATCCAGTACAACAACTGTGTATCTTATGTAATGTCTAACAACAACAATGCATTGCCCATATAGTGTACACTTTGTACTTTACTGAGAATACTGTGAACATTGTGTGTAAAAGTATTCAGACACATTTCATTCTGCTTTTTATTGATTCACTTCATTTTCTTCCTACCTGTTGAACGACACTGTCCATTTTTACGCTCAGCTCTCCGTCGTGCCGTGCGCTCTGCTCATGTCTGACGCTGATCTGCCGCACTTCTTCCACAACTTGTTGTAAATAAACAGCAGCAAACCCTACAGCGCATATTAACCCGATATAAAACGCTATTGTTGCAAAAAGGCCGAGGCAGCTCCCTGACGGTGGCCCCTGAGGTGCGGGGCCACTCACCCCGTTGCTGCTGCTGCTCTTTGGGCTTTTCTTGGGCACATCCTCCGGGCTGGATGCGGCGCTCTTCTCGCTGTTCTTGTTTCGGTTTTTCGCCGTCATGTTGGATGGGAGCTGGCTCAGGAGAGTGTGAGTGTGATGTGAGTGCTGCTGCTAGTTTTTGCAGTCGTGGATGGAGAATGTTTCCAGTCCAGGCCCACTAACAGGACCGGCAGCGTATCAGGGAGCGCGTCGTGTCTTTCCACGGGGCTTTTAGTGTTGAGGTATGCGGATGGGGGCTGTCCCATGTAAAACTCAGGCTCTGTATGGGTCTACTTAAATGACATAATAAAACACAAGAGCACAATGAATGACTTCTACTGCTTGTTGTTGTTGCACTATGTTTACATCAGATCAGCCATAGTATATCTTTTATCACACACCCAAAACAAGAATGAAAGTTTTGCAGAAGCATCTCTCACTGGAACAACATTTCCTTAAAGAGGTTTTTTTTAGCAACTTTAAAGTTTTCAAAGTGTTCCGCAGGATCTTAATAAGCAAAAGCACTGGTAAGAGAAGTGAGAAAATGTCACTCGATTTAGTAAAAGACAAAAGATGCACCCCCAAAGCCAAAGAGTTGCACCAACAGTGCATCATTCTCCCAAGTGCATCAATATACTGAATCTGAAAGTGTCATAAACCGTGTTTATATGTTTCTTTTACTATGACACTTTTCCACGAATGCTGTAACACTTCTAAAACACTGAAGACTGATGCAAACTTCCTGCAAGCGGTGCAGGGAGGGGCAGCTCCCCTCGCTCCTCCTTGCATACGTGGCATCTGCAGGCTGCTGTGAACTCCCATGGTAACATCTCTGCACACAGAGATTATCACACACACACAGCCTTTATTTACACTGACAAATAAGTGAAAAGACCAGGGAGTTTCAATTACATTTTCTTCATTATAAATGTGGCTGTTGCATGTTGGAGGTCATAGATGGTGGAGGCAATTTAATGAACACAATGTTCTTTTCATAGGAATCTTTTTTTTTAGTATGATAAAAAGAACACCAATATTAGTTTTGTGCATGTCATTTAGTTGTTCATTTAAAATTGCTTTATTATAAATGTACCAATGGTATTGCTATACTGTGCCAAATTGTTTGGTATTAGTTTTATAAAATTGCATCATGTGCAAATTCCTCTAAGGTTTATTAGAAAAATCTAGTTATTTGTTTCCAGTCATTATAGTTGCAGTCAAAAAATAGTATTTACATCCTCTGTTTAAACACTAGGTGTCACTAAAAGAGCGTTTTATGGCGAAAGCAAACAGCACAGACAACCGTCTGCAGTCATATCCCCAAAGTGATTTAGGCAATGTAACAATGTCCAACTGTTGAAACAATAACACCGTAAAAAATACATTATGATATACTTTTATGGATTAAGAACATTACACATTACGATTAGCTCCAGCTTTACCAGCTGCAGAATTAAAAGTATGTACCCACTAATGCATCACTGTTTATAACCAAGATAAATAACATCAAGTGTTCCTTCTGCATAATGATTACTTTTGCTTTAGGCACTTTAAGTTTATATGGACGCTTATTTGCGTACTTTTTCTTTAGTGTAATTTGTAATGCAGGCCTGTGTTTCAAACTATTTCTATGCTGTGGTCTTATTCTTAAGTATAGGTTGTAAATACTTCCTCCACGACAATGTCAACAAATAGTTTTCAAATGATTCGAGTGTGTATATAATGAACTATAAATAGATGTTTATATACAGTAGTACAGCCTGTGATAAATATCTACGTTTACGCCTATCGACATATTCAGGGAGGGGTTTCCTAGCAGACCCTGAACGCATCATGACGCCCCGCCTAGACGCCGTGACAACAGACGCTCCTCGCGACGCGCTGCCCAGGTGTTCGGTGTGTTGCAGAGATATCCGGACCGTTTCGGAGCTTTATCAGTGGATCATCACGACATGGCCTAACTCGATATTCTTTGTCCATGAGCCCGGCTGTCACTCGGACGTCTGAGATGCCGTCTTTCCACACAAACTCCCTAATCTCTCTGAGAACAGCGGGAACACCGTTAAAATGAAGACTGACACGGGGGTGATAATTTGAACCGTTTGTGTTTATAACTCGAGAGGGAGAAGCTAGCAGGGAGCTAGCTCGGATATCGGTATTGTGAAGCCATGGCTGGACTCATCAAGAAGCAGATCCTGAAGCATCTCTCCAGGTCAGTGCGCAGCGGGGTTAACAGACACCCTAGTCAACTGTCAGACTGACGATAGCTAGCTAACACCAAAAAGTCACAAACAAAATGTAACCTTTTCTGAACATGAATTGATAAATTTCCTCTTGCATTTTAATAAGTTACCCTGCATTCCTGCTATCTGTCAGACTGTCAGTTTCATTTTCATCCCACGTAACCCTCACTGACCTGAGACGTGGCTAACTGAAGCTAACTAGCTAACACTGGGGTTAGCTAGTAAGGAGCTAATCCCTCACCGTTTGCTTTCGCGGGTTGAACCAGTCCAGTGTTCGAATCAGATTGTTTAAAATAAACAATCTCAGCCGAAGTCCTAAAGGTTTATCATACAACTTCGTGGTTTCTAATACCCAATCTGGTTGAAAAATAAATCACATACTAATGATGTAATTAGACTCGAATTTGACAGAAGTCATTGGGTAAATGAGAAGGCAGTGACATGTACTGTGTAGTGCAAGGTGAAGGTTTGTTCACACGGCTTTAAACCCTGCTTATCGGCTCTTTACACCTCTTTACATACTTTACATGGAGCCTCAGAACCCAACACAAGATCATTTAGAGGGACACTGCTGTACTGCCTCCTTAATCCAACATTTGACAGCTTTTTGAGGCGTCTTTCGTGTATGAAATAATAGTAATAATGTACAGATTGATGAACCTAACAGTGATTCTGGATCTGTTTCAATGGCGCTACCACTGGCTACGTAACGCCCCATATATTTATTTTGTAATGTCTAGCTGTTATAGGCAGCATTCAGCTTGTACCGGTCCCATGCATGATTTATTGTTTTCCACTGTCCCTCAAGGGACTTTCAATGGAGTACTTCCTGGTTTTCTTCCAGAGATAAAGCTACAGAGATGCTACTGACCTACAACAGAGCACCTTCAGACAGAACAGTGTATTGAATAGGATCATTTTGACAGTATACTAAACTTTAGGTGGACAACTTTGACATGGAATATAAGAAATGAGAGCTGTCACATCTATATTGCAGCTTACAGATGACTAAATCCATCATAGCCTCATTGGTATGCAGGTGGACTGGCTTCTATTCTTGGAAAGAAAAAGCACCAAGATGATGTGGTTGTTGAGAGAAGTCTTTGTGATGAATTAGTCCTTTTAATGGTCCATACCATAACGGTTTAAAGGGTTGCTTTGTCCTTCACACAATGCCATTTGTCTGCAACACACAGCCTGTAAGTGGCATGCCCTTCATTGTCCCTGTTCTCTAAAGTGTGTGTGTGTGTGTGTGTGTGTGTGTGTCCCAGCAATGCACAAGTGTCTCTGCACATGACTGTGCATGCCCTCAGCTGCATTAGCATCAACATTGACAGAAAGTGACTGAGAGTAGTGATATGTGACGTCACCTTTCTTTGGGCTCGCCATCTGATCTGCTTCATCCTGGCCTCACTGCTCTGGCACCGAGAGGACGCTCGCCTGTCTGACAGTCAGCCAATCCTGCGCCTCTCAGGTGGGATGATGTCATGGTAAAAGTGTTGATGTCAGAATGCCAAATCAGCATCACCTTATGTCCTCTTTTACTGTATGGGTGCAAATATAGTGCGAGTACAATGCACGCTTGAATTATTCAGCTTGAGGATGGGTTACAGGTTTAGTTCAGTTTTTTATCGAAGTAAGCTTGTATGAGGTTGTTATTTATATAGTGTATTATTACCTACAGTAAATGGCGGTGAGCATGCACCCAGTTTGGAAAAGAAGGAAGCCTTTTTTTGGTGGTGAAACCATATTTTTCTTCTGATCCCATCCTCAGCAGTACATTGCTCTGCTTCCGTGCCAGTTTCTGTCTGCTTCTCCAAACTGAGGGCGTGCAGGCCACCATCCACTGTAGATACTACACTATGGGTGGATAAGTGTACTATACAACACTAACACAAAGAATCCGAACCACACCTTTAAAGGTGTCCCCTGCTCAGTTGCTGCTTGGTCAGCACCAGCCAGGAATAGTGAACCCTGCTGCTCCATTATTCATACACAGTGTAGGTGTGTAGCTTACACAGCTACAGGTGATGTTGTGAGTGTCAACATGTCAGCTCAGCCTCCACGCTGAACTCCTACAGAAGACGCACGCCAGTTTTAATACTTTCTGTCACCAGGACACCATCTTTACAGTTTTTACAGAGTTTTTTTTACCAACTGTTAGAGGAAGCAATGAGTGGTACTTCCCATGTGCAAGGGTGAGTTTGTTAATATTAAGTGACGAGGCTGAATTGTTAGCATGCATTGGATTTTCTAACATGAGAGTGTATCGATGAAGACGTTCAAACTCAGGTAGCCTCTGGGGGTGGTTTGAATGACACGGTGTGTTAGTGGGCATTACAGACAGATTTAGATTATCGACAAGACCCTTCTGGCCCACAGCCAGACAGACAAGATCCTAGTGCACACATTACACGCACGCATATAGATTGACGTTGAAATGGCTAAACGATGGTAGACATGGTCACATTCTCTCTTCTTTGTTCCCTCTGAAGAGGGATTTGTTTCTTACTTTCACACGGTCTAAAGGTCAGGTTCAGCTGCAGAGCTGAAGCATGGAGCTGGGAGATATTCAGAGCCAGGAGCCTAATTCCAAGTGTTGAAGATTAAGACTCAAACGTTGGTCTTGCTACAGAGATAATGCATTCCCATATGGAGCTCTGCAGCGATTGTTTTAATCTCTTCCATTTTACCTACCTAGATCCATCTTTCTCTTTTCCGTGATTCCAGTTCCCTTTAATCTTGATATTGATGCATTCAAAGCGGCAATGTTTGAAAAACAATTGTTGCTTCATCTAATCGTAATATATTTGATATGATATATCTTTTTGACAAATTGAAAGTCTAAATCAAGATGATGTGCTCACATGTCATGTTTGACAAACAAACCGTTAATCCAACAATATTTATATAGAAATAAAGTTGTGAAAGCAGCAATACCTCACTTTTAACAAGATATATTTGG